TAGATGGCAAATTGAAATTAGACTATTTTTTCAATTTGTACTTCCCTTTTAATAATAAGGGGATTGTCTATATGATTCATATGACTTTGATTTATTCTTCTTTGTGTCGGTCTTAAAATCATGATATTTCATCATTCATTAGTTGTGACATGTACATCTGATAGCTTTTAGTTTTAGTTCTTACTCAAGTATTTTCAATTGCCGTGAAAAACAATCCATAAGAAATAATAATGAAAAAGATTCTCTAATTCGTAAGCAATCTCTCATTCTTGCTTTTGAAGTTTTGCTACAAGATTAACTCATATATGTTTTGTGTGCTTAATTAATTTTGTTTTATTTTCTTCTTCTTCTTCTCTGTTTTAAACCCTTCTTCTCTGTTTTAAACCCTAAAAGTACTTTTCTTCTTCCTCCCTTTTATCAAATAAAATAAAAAAAATAAAAAATGCTTTTATTAAAGTAAAACATTTCAAGATTTTCATGTATCGTGATTGTATTAATTTTTATTATTTTTATAATTTGGGAAAGAACTAATTTTCACTTGTAGACTTAAACCTGAGAGTAAAAATCGAATCGGTTTTGCTCAACCAAATCGAACAGAGATTTGAGGGTTTCGGTTTGGAATCGGTTAGTAAGAGTGAGGGAACTTTTTGAAATAGGTTCGGTTATCGACTCGGTTCATTGGATCGACCAGTTAGCCGTTGTTTTTTTGAATTTTCTGAAATTATACCAATTTGTTTTTTAAAATTCTATCCAAACTTAACCGGACGTCTGTTTTGTACGAATTTTAAATATTTAACTGAGCCGATTTAACCAGTAACCAAACCAATCTAAACCGAATTTTATTTCATTATATTTGGTAGCTTAGTCCCTAACCGAACTACCCAAAAACCGACTAACCGAACCGAAACAAATCGTTCGGTCCATAGTCGCAGGGCTACGTACGTAGACTCATACATGACAGAATGCACAAACGCGTACGGCACTAAAATACAAGGGTAATATCGTCATTTACACAGTAATTACTCGGTTTTACAGCCCTCGTTTCTTGGAAAGTGACAATAATAATGCCAGATGTAAAATACGTAATGAACAGTGGCTCCACCATCACCGAACCTGCAGGTTCGTTTTTTAACTCTCTCTCTGGTCGGTCAGGGGTAAAATCGGAAATCCAATTCTTATAAAACGCAGCTTTGGTCTTAGATCATGTCCCTCAGACAATTTCACTCGCTAATCTGTGTCTGAATCTCACAAGGTAATAATTTCGCTAATGCAAATCTCATATCTATCGCTAATTTTCTTGTAAATTTATCGTTAATTATCTCCTGATCTTCGCTCTGAATCATCGATCGGTGATTCTCGATCTCAGATCGGCTTTTCCTTAGTTCATAATTCTGATTCAAAACCAATAGATCCGTTGTTGATAGTGCTAATTATTTGAAATCATCTTTGGTATTATAATATTGAGCTAGATTTGTGTTTAGATCGTTAATGATGTCTTGTTTAGTAGTTATGTTTTGATTTAAGATCTGACTCTGTTTTGCTTATAAAAGATCGATCTAACTTTTTAGAATGTTTGGTTCTTTCTGAAAAAGGATCCACTTTTTGATCTCTGTTTGGTTTTGATTGTATATAAAGCTCTTGACTTTGTGAAATTTGATTCTTTTTGCAGAAGAAGTGAAAGATGGTGAAGATTTGTTGTATTGGAGCTGGGTATGTTGGTGGACCAACAATGGCAGTGATTGCTTTGAAATGTCCAGACGTTGAAGTAGCGGTTGTTGATATCTCTGTACCACGTATCAACGCTTGGAACAGTGACCAGCTTCCGATTTACGAGCCTGGTCTTGATGATGTTGTGAAGCAATGCCGTGGCAAGAACCTTTTCTTTAGTACTGATGTTGAGAAACATGTGAGGGAAGCTGATATTGTGTTTGTTTCTGTTAACACACCGACGAAAACCCGAGGTCTTGGTGCTGGGAAAGCGGCGGATCTTACGTATTGGGAGAGTGCTGCGCGTATGATTGCTGATGTTTCGGTATCGGATAAGATTGTGGTTGAGAAATCGACTGTTCCGGTTAAAACAGCTGAAGCTATTGAGAAGATTTTGACTCATAATAGCAAAGGGATTAAGTTTCAGATTCTTTCGAATCCGGAGTTTTTGGCGGAAGGAACCGCGATCAAGGATCTTTTTAACCCTGACCGTGTTCTTATCGGAGGGCGGGAAACCCCGGAAGGGTTTAAAGCGGTTCAGACGCTTAAGGATGTGTATGCTCATTGGGTTCCTGAAGGCCAAATCATAACCACCAATCTTTGGTCTGCTGAGCTTTCCAAGCTTGCGGCAAACGCTTTCTTGGCTCAAAGGATTTCATCCGTCAACGCTATGTCTGCTCTATGCGAAGCCACTGGTGCAGATGTTACCCAAGTGTCTTACGCGGTTGGTACAGACTCGAGAATTGGTCCTAAGTTCTTGAACTCGAGTGTTGGATTTGGAGGTTCATGTTTCCAGAAGGACATTCTGAATCTTGTCTACATTTGCGAGTGCAACGGACTCCCGGAGGTGGCAGAGTACTGGAAGCAAGTCATCAAGATCAATGACTACCAGAAGAGCCGGTTTGTGAACCGTGTTGTTTCCTCCATGTTCAACTCCGTATCAAAAAAGAAGATTGCGGTTCTTGGTTTCGCATTCAAGAAAGACACAGGCGACACAAGGGAAACCCCAGCCATCGATGTGTGCAAGGGTCTTCTCGAAGACAAAGCATTGCTAAGCATTTACGACCCGCAGGTGACTGAGGATCAGATCCAGAGGGATTTATCCATGAACAAGTTCGACTGGGACCATCCACTACATTTGCAGCCAATGAGCCCAACAACAGTGAAACAAGTGAGCGTTACTTGGGACGCATACGAAGCAACTAAGGACGCACACGGTATCTGCATCATGACCGAGTGGGATGAGTTCAAGAACTTGGATTTCCAGAAGATCTTTGACAACATGCAGAAACCGGCTTTCGTGTTCGACGGAAGAAACATTATGAATCTGCAAAAGCTTAGGGAGATTGGTTTCATTGTTTACTCCATTGGTAAGCCCCTTGACGACTGGCTCAAGGACATGCCTGCCGTTGCCTAATGATGTCCATTGCTGATTCTTTCGTCCTCCATCATTTGTGCTTCTTTTGTTGTTTGTCTTTAAGACTTGTTATATTTCTTACAATGTGTTTGTTATGTCTCTGGTGTGTGTTTTTTTTTTGTTCAACTTTCATATTTTTTTTGGTCGAAGAGGACTTGTATTCGACAATGTCGCTTCAATTTTGTTGTTTCCTTAGAAACTAAATAAATATTGGTTCTTATTGAGGTTGTAGTTAACCGTTGAAAGTTTTGACACCTATTGAGTTTTGTCTGTGAGAGTTGTTGTTGACTCAGAAGAATATTTGCACATTGGTCATAGAGAGAATCACATGATCTCTCATCTCTCTGGTGGTTTAGGAACCAAACGCATCTTATAAAAGTTTCCAGGTTGGAGATTCTGAGTGACACCTAAGTATTCCACGTTTAAAGCTCAACATAAAAGATTGGATGCTTCACCAATCAATGGTCCTCGACCTCAGAATTGTCTTTTTGACATCCTTTTTGTATTTATTGTGAATTTTCGTTACATTTCTGTCTTAGTAACTCATTTGAAAGACATAACTCAAGTTTGAGTAAATAATACTCCCTCCGTTTCGTTTTAGTTGTCGTTTAAGGTTTTTGCACACAAATTAAGAAAATCATTAAATTTTTTGTTTTACCCTTTATTAATATATTTTATAATTTTTTCATTGGTCAAATCATTAAAACATTAATGACAAAACATTAATTTTCACCAAACATTTGCATTGAAAACCTAAAACGACAACTATTATAAAACAAAATTTTAATCCTAAAACGACAACTAAACTGAAACGGAGGGAGTAGTACTCACTTCCTTCCATTTTATACGATGTTTAAGGATTTTTTTGTTTGTTTCATTTTAATATTTTATCAAATGTTTTGTAAGTTTTTATGTAAAATTTAACTGCATTTAATATTTCGTAGTCATTTGTATTATGCAGTGATTTGTATGATTGGTTGAACTATTATTTAAATATTAAATGATATTTCTATAAAGAAAATAAAAATTTTAAGGCCAAAACATTTTACAAAAAGAAACAGAGGGAGAGTCATAATATCTTAATATGTTTATGTGGAAATGTATTTAGCAGATTATCTGTTTCTTTATATGTTGTCAAATTGTGCACTTCATTTGTTTCAAAAGCTAGTTATTCATTTAGCTGATTTATTTCTTACTTTGTTTGAGAGAGATTGATTTTTTTTTTAATTTGAACCTTTTTGCTACTATATAAATTTTTTGAGGAAATGATAAGAATCTTTAACAAAAAGAATTTCTTTCTTATGATTAGTCCAATTGAGATTAAAATATCGAAATAAAAGGTTGCAAATTTTTTTTTTTTTTTTGGTTTTTGAAAATTAAACATAAAGTCAAGGACTTGAAATTTTCCAAGTAAGATTAAATAAATCTTATTGACTAAACATTAAATGAGTTTTTCAAAGTATATTTTTTTCGAAAAGTATTTTGTTTTTTAATAACAAAGATACAAATAATTCATTAAAAAAAAGTATTGAATCCAACAATTTTCCATAAAAAAAAAAACAAAAATTTAAACTTTATAGATAGAATATCCAAATAAATTAAATAAAAATGTCCAAATATTGGTCTGTTTCTCTTTAAATTATTTTTTCCCATTTAAAGTTAAAAAATCTGGACGCAGCGTAAAAGCGGATAAATTGGCTCGACAAGTTCGTACCGAACCGCTTCATATCACATATGTAAACAACATTCCCCAGGAATGGCTCTTTTGAGCTTTAATTTAAGCTGTTGACAAAAAAAAAAAATCTGGACGCAGCGTTACGAAATTTCGTGAGAAAGACAAAACACAAGTTTCTTCTTGGGATTGGCTATTTCCAGAAACCCAAGTCAAAAATCAAAGTCCAAACCAAAATCCTCTCCCAATCTCCGCTTCACTCTTCTCATGGACGCTCTCATTGCTCAGCTTCAGAGACAATTTCGTGATTACACCATTTCTCTCTACCAACAGGTTTCAATTCTACAAATCTTCAAACCCAATTCATGTTAGCTAATTTAGATCATATACACTAGATTTACTCCTGTATGCAGAGATTCATGATTAAAGTGAAGAAAGATTGAATCTTTAATGTTTGTTCTGAAGATTTTGTGTTTTTTTTTTACAAGTTATGATTTTTAGGGATTTGAGTTGTGTAAAGGTTGGAACTTTAGATTGATGGGTTTGTTTAAGATCATTGCTTGTTTGTGTTTTTTATCTGAAGGGCTTTTTGGATGATCAATTTACTGAGTTGAAAAAGCTTCAAGATGATGGAAGTCCTGATTTTGTTGCTGAAGTGCTCACTCTTTTCTTTGAAGATTGTGTGAAACTTATCAGTAACATGGCTAGAGCTTTGTAAGTTTTGATCTTCTCTCATATCTCACTCAATAAGTATCCACTTTGTTCTTGCTAGATCATCATTTCTTGTGATTGTGGCTACATCTATTTTCAGGGACAAGACGACGGGAACTGTAGATTTTAGTCAGGTAGGTGCTAGTGTGCATCAATTGAAGGGTAGTAGCTCAAGGTGTGTATCGTGTCTCGATTCTAGTCTGCTGATACGTTATATAAGCTTTGGTAGCAGAAGTTGTGTGTGGTTGATTGATGAAGCTTTGTGTTGTTTCTATGTAGTGTTGGTGCTAAGAGGGTCAAAGCGTTGTGTGTTAGCTTCAAGGAATATTGTGAAGCTAAGAACTACGAAGGGTGAGCTTGTTCAACACCGCTTGAAGAGTTATCGTTTTCTTTTGGGAAGTATATTGGTTGAGATTTGTGGAGTAATAATCTCTTGTTACAGGTGTGTGAGATGTCTGCAGCAAGTGGATATCGAGTACAAGGCGTTAAAGACAAAGCTTCAAGATATGTTCAATGTGAGTGTGAATAGAATCCATCTCTGTTTGTGGCTGCTTTTATGAATCATTTTGATGATGACCAATGAACAACTTATTGACTTGTTGTTGTGTTGCAGCTTGAGAAACAAATCATTCAAGCTGGTGGTAGAGTTCCTCAAGTGGATATTAACTAAGGAGACTAGTCCAGAAGAAAAAAGATGATGACTTTCTTTAGTTTCTCTTTTAAATTATTTTGGAATTTGGTGTTTGTTCAGAAACTCAATAAAATATGTGCAAAAAGAAACAAGTTATTGTTGTTTATTAGTGTGTATTGTTCTTTGATCTAATGTGATGATAATATATTGGTTTGCTTCTTGTGGGTTTGGTTTGAGTAAGATATAGTGATTACTAAGCAAGTCTTGACTAGTGGTGCTTTTAAGACCCTCCAAATATTGTGTGTTTTAGTTCCTTAGTTTGATTCTCGCTTAGAATAGGTAGGCATGTCCATTTTGGCTCGGAAAATCCGTTTTAACCCATATCCGTCCCGAATTACCTTTTCCAAAACTTTACCCGCCTCGAATCCGTCTCGAAGTTGACCCTTACTCAAATTAGTAAAAGTTTGGTAGTGATTTTTTCTACCCAAATTTCTCAAACCCGTCTTGTCATCCGAATTCGAATATCCAAATTAACCGCTCTCGATCCTTACCCTTTACTTCCCATTTCGATATCCGTACCAAAATGGACATTCTAAGAAAATATGGTAATCCCATCGCGATAAATCACAAACTGGTTTCTAACCGAGGTAGATTACCGGTCCAAAAGATACCGAAAACATACCAACAAGGGAGCACGAAGTTAATTGTAGACGCGAGTGTAGGAGATAACTACCCCTTTGCAAATAGCCTTCATAGCTTCCGCAACAAGTAATTTTTTCATCAGTCTCTATGAGTAAGAAGCTGAGCGAGAGAGAGCTAGACTCTCTGCAGATCAAGCTCAACGATTCAGGCCGTGATACCTAAATCAAGTTAGGGTTTTGCTCTGGTAAGCTAATCAAAGCTCTCATCTTTCTCTATTCTTCTGATTCTTCCCCTATCGAGAAACGTAAACGAAAAAAGCTTACGACTTTTTTACAATTTCTGTATATTTTTCTCACTTTCCTGTGTTTGATTCTTGTGGGTTTAACGTATTTGATGCTGGACAGGTTCAATCAGATGAAAGTTTTCATCTTTGTAGTCAAAATGTCTCGGAGTCTTCGTGTGTGTGGTTACCAGAGGATTCATTCTGGTGTTTGCTTTATTTGCTAAGGATTTTGGGGTCTTTGCTCGGTTTCAATGTCAATAAAAGAACCATCTTTTATGACTGAGATTGTTGAGGAACATGAGAATGAGATGGATGAAGCTGCAACGAGCTTGGTTATGTTTTCTGAACAAGTTTATGACTTTAAATTGCCTCCTAATGATGATGATGAAACCATGGATTTAGATCAGCTCACACCTATACAAGAGAAGATCTTAGATTGTGTTGAGTGGATACTAGAATTGAGGGAAATGATTTCTCACTCGGGTTTCGAAAAGTTTACTACTTGCAGTGATGTTGCTGCTCTGAGAAGTAAATTGCAGAGTAACTCAAGTCGTAAATGCAATATATGTGGAAAGAGTTTTGGGTGTTATCAAGCTTTAGGTGGCCACCAAAGAGTTCACAGACCGATTAGAAGGAAATTAGCGCGTAAAAGGGAGTATGCTAAAGATGATAATTCATTGTTTGAGTCATCAGATGCTAAGAAGATTGTTTTAAAACCATCAAAATTTGAAGTCTCTAAGGAGGAGAAGATCTTAGATTGTGTTGACTCGAAACAAGGGTTCAGCGAACTGCTTCCTCGGAATAGTAAGTCGCGGAAAATACCTGAGAGTAGCTCCTGCTATGAATGTAAGATATGTGGAAAGAGTTTTGGGTGTTATCGAGGTCTAGGTGGCCACACAAAACTTCACAGATCGATGAAAGGGCAATTGGCGCGTACTCAAGATGATAATTCACTGTTAGACTCATTAGAAGCTAAGAAGATTGTTTCACAACCATCAAGCTTTGAATTCTCTCCAGAGGAGAACATCTTACATTGTGTTGAGTTAAAACAAGACTTCGGTGGACTGCTTTCTCATTCGGGTGCATTTCCTTCTACTCTGAGAAGTAAATTGCAGAGAAAAAATCAGAGCAAATCAAGCTATGATTGCAAAATATGTGGGAAGAGTTTTGTGTGTTCTCAAGCTCTAGGTAATCACAAAAGAGTTCACAGACCGATTAATGGGAAATTAGCGCGTAAAAGGAAGTACACTGAAGACTATAATCCACTGTCTGACTCATTAGAAGCTAAGAAGATTGTTTCGGAACCATCAAGCTTTGAGGTCTCTGAGGAGAAAAGCTTACATTGTGTTGAGTTAAAACAAGACTTCGGTGAACTGCTTGCTCACTCGGGTTGCAGTAACACCAGGTTCATTCCATTACCTTCTTCCCTAAGAAGTAAATCACACTCCAACATATCGATCAAAGGGAAATTACCGCGTAAAAACGAGAAAACTGAAGATAGTAATTCACTGTTTGGCGTGAATGACTCAGAAGCTAGCAAGTTTGCTTCACTATCATCAAGCTTTCAAATCTCTCAGGAGAAGACCTTACACTGTGTTGAGTCGAAACAAGACTTCAGTGAACTATTTTCTCACTCGGGTTTCGATAAGTTTACTTGTTGAACAATAAAGGATATGTTTGGAGATTATAACTTTCTTAAACAACATTTTTCTCTTCTTTAAAGTGCAGAAGTTGCAACTTTATAGTTAAACATTTTCCCCTTTACATAAATAGATGAAAGAAACGAGCTTGCTTGGTTCAAACTTCAAATACAATTTCTTTGGTTAACTCATGTTTTAGACACAGAATCAATCCAAAGTGAAATTGATCTCTTATACCAATTCATTGGTTCGGTTTGAGTAAAAGATATAGCGATTAGGGTAAAAGATATTGGATTAATAATTATGTTATTCACACCATTGCATTGTCTTGTGATTAGAAAGCAAAATGTTTTTATGTGCTCTTTAGAAACTTGAACAATATAATTTTGAAGTTAATCAAAGCAGAATATCAACAAATCAAAAGTATACTGGAAAAATGAAGCTAATATAGTATTATGACATAGTTTATTTGGAAATTTTTAAAGAACGAATGAATAAAACATCCATCTCTATTTACATTTTTAGAGTACATTTAGCAAATAAATTTAGGGGTTGGGAAGTATTTACAACTTATGTCATTGGTGAATCGGTTTTTTTCCATGCGTTTGACCCGGTTTTGTTGCAATCGGATACCTCCGAAATTTCCTCTTACAAATTGTTGTTGTAATCGGCATTAATTAGTGAGACAATATTAACAATCAGATTTAAGAAATAAAAACCAACTCTTTAATGCAGTTTATTAGCCTAATTAATATGACTAATAATTTACTTTCTTAAATTAAACCACATTAAATTCAAAAAGCTTTACTCCCTCCTATCAATTCAATAATATTCCCAAAAATATCTCTAAATTATATTTAAGGAAAATAAGATTCGTAACGAAACCGTTTTATAGAATCACAATACAATATCTCTTAACTTACTTATTTTTCAACACAATTAATTCAAAAAATTAACTCTCTCCAATCAATCCACTAATATTCGTAAAATATATCTCCGAATTCTATCATAGATATCTAAACTACCATAAACAAAATTACCGAGATCTCTATAACACCTATTAACCCACGAAATCTCTTTATATTGACCATCGAAAATATATCTTCATTCCAATATATACCTAAAATTCTTCCACATTAATTTTTAACAAATCAATTTCAGAATTTAAATAGCATAAAACTGGTATATTCCTAACAAAAATAACAAATTCAAAGATATTCTTCCAAAAATATGTCTTCACGTAAATTCTACCATTTACTGACTACCTAATTATTTGTCCCTATATATACTCTACTACTATACACTTATTCCTATCACAAAACTCAAAAGCTCATAAATCCGGACGTGTATACCTTTTCACTCTTATCAATGGCTGCTACTTTTGCTTTCCTCAAAGATGTGCGTCCCTACAAGACATCTTGGAGGGTACAAGTGAAGATCTTGCATTCATGTTGTCAATACATGCAAAGCACATTCCACACAATCGCCATGGCTCCTCGATCATACATTCCACACAGTCGTTAAGGTTGCTTCATTTTACAAATACTTAATGATGAGAATGTTAAATTGAGTCAAATATCACCAAGAGAAAGCATGTCTGTGTGTAAACAAGATCACGACAGCACCATCGTTGACCTTCATCAATTATGTCACGTCTTTCCCATTGTTTTTTCGTCCTTTATTATGTATTGCAGGTAAGGAGACAAAGAGATCAAGCAGGAGGCACCGTTTGGAAGCTTTTGTCTAGGCACCTAGAGGAAAAAGTAAGGGCCAGACACTAGATTTATTTTGTTTTACAGGTTTTGAGTGTTTTGCTAGAGATGAGTTTGATCTTTGTGTTTTCGCAGCTTGTCGCAGCTGAGATTTTCTTTGTAAAGTTGAAGCACGAGAGTTACCAAGGTGAGTTTTATAGATTTGTGTAGTTATCATGACTCCTTGATGCAACAAGAACTGCAATACAAATACATGTCTACAACAATTAAACAAAGGAGAAGATAAGTTTGAGACTTAACTAATTAGTACTCACATACATTACAGGTTTTTGCATTTGATTATTCGTTGGGGTGAAAGAGGAGATAATAGAGAGAATTAAGTGATGGATGATAGTGAAGGTAACTCATTTTCTTGGAATATGTTTTCAGAATTTGCTTGGCTAGGTGGGAAGATTTTTATATCTTGTTGTTTTAGTTGCATTGATTTCACTTATGTGGTTCTTCACTTCTGTTTTCAGAATTCTCAGAAGTTCCTGATCTAAGTAAGTGGTTTTCGAGTTATGTCTATGAATCACCGATGCTGGATACAAGTGATGGTCTTGAACTTTCTTTTCCTGGAGAAAGTAAAGGTATAAAGGATATGGAATTAGTCTCTTCTCAGGATAAAGACAAGTCTCAATCGCAAGTTGCATTTTCAGGTGAGTAAAGAGATTTGTTTGCTAATAAAGTGACTAAAGAAGTTTGTAGTCGAGAAGCCATAATCTTACTTGTTTTATTTCATGTTCTAACAGAGATTACAGAAGTCGTTGAGTACAATGAAGTAGATGAAGAAAACAACAGTATTTGGGGAAAGCCTAAGAAAAAGCGCATCAGTACTATTTAGAGAAAATCTATGAGAAAGAAAGAGCCTACAACAACAACCTATGAAGCTGAGCTAACTTCCTTGAGGAACCGAGTCCAATATCTAGAAAACGAAGTAAGGATTTTGCATGATCTCATCAATCGTTTCCAAGTTCTCCAATTGCAAAAGTAGTATATATAAGTAAGGATATTAGTTTAGGTATTGGTTTGAGACTTGTGTTATGTATGAATTGATGTTTGATCTTTTGGAAGTTTATTATATATATATATATATATATATATATATATATATATTGTGGATATTTTACAAATTAAACAGGTTCCATCAAATGTAAATAGCTTAATACAAATACATAAAATAAGAGTCATAACATTCAATATTATAGCATTGAAAAAATGATAGATCATAGCATGGATATATCGTCATATAAAAATAAATAAAAGCGTTTAAATATTACTATAGTATATGTATATATCGTAGCATTCAAAAAAATGCTATCGTATGTCTAACACCTACCATAGTTGTTGATGTCATAGCATTAGTGAATTCGCTATCTTATATGTATGATAGCAGAATTTTCGCGCTAACAATGTGTATATTTCTTGTAGCTAGTATAAACTTACTTTTAAATAAAAGTTAATCTTAAAACATATAAGCCAAAGATGAAAATTTGAAAAACAAAGATGAATATTGAGAGGAGATAAAATAATTATGGTAACTAACATACCTTCTTTAATTAAATAAACTTTTTGTAGCTGCCTCTTTTTTTAATCACCAATCTAAAAATTTTTTGTTAAAAATATAAAATTATTATGATCTTGTGTAATTATAAAGGGGTCCCAATCATAAACCGTCCATATAATCAAATTATAAGATTTTCATTATAATTTCGGATTGTCATCTAATAATATTAATATTGTTGTTTTTGATTAAGTGCAAATTTCAAACAAAATTTAAACAATTGGCTAATTAATTCATTAAAAGGACTCTTGATTCATGTATTTTCGGATTGAATTATGTTTGAAAGCATGTGTTTTAAAATCAAATAATTTCTTTATTTTTTAATTATTTTTTATAAAATAATATTTTTTTGACCTTTAAACTATTTTTAATCTGGTTTGGGTCTTATGGCACAACTCTGTTTTTAAAACTAAGCTTTTACATACTTCTTCAAGTATGTTTGGTTACCATCAGAAGATCAACGGTTGCAAAACCTTTTCGAAGATTTGTGTTAATTTATGTCTTTGACCATGGCTAAACATATAAGGCAGCCCGCCGATTCATACATCCGCAAATTTAGATTCTTGGATTTTCTGGGTTCATACACATTTTTGTTTATTTTTAGTTTAACTGCAATCAATTTAATTAACGATTTAATGTTTTTCTTTCAGATGCAAAAATTTCAGCCCCATCCCTACCCCCACCAGTTTTGATATTTTATTTTTATTTTTTTGAAAATTTTAAATTTTTATGTTTTATAAATCTTTAATTTTTTATTTCCAAATTTTTTCTTCTCAGGCTGCGGATGCAAACTCATCTCTTCTTGCTTTTGCCGCAGGTGGTGTTAGATTCATCAAGGTAACGTATGTGCTTTTATTTATTTTTATTTTTTACAAACACTCATATTCAATTAACCATAAAAAAAAAGAATATACAAGATTATTCACAGGATATTAAATAACAAAACCAAAGATTTTTCAAAGATAAAAAAAAAAAAGCAACACAAACTAAACACTCATATCTCGATTTTCTCTTTAGTGACTAGCAAACCCATCTCCTTCAAAGGATCCCACATTCTTGAGTACCATCTTTATGGCCTTAAAGAAGGTTGTCTGCCTTCATTTGATATTGTTGAAAACGTAGATGAAGCCATTGAAAGTTATTGCTCTTGCAAGATAGATTCCAACCGAAGACTGCTCTTGAGACAAGCTTATTTGTCTCTGGGAATGCATTTCCACAACGTTTTTGACCTCAATGAGATACTTTTCATACCTTTCATCAATGTGCTTCTTCAATTCAACATATTTCTTGTCACAACACAAACCCCTGCCATAAATCACCTTATGGAACGGAGATCTCATCTTGGGCAACATCGTGAAAACATTTTTTTTTTTTTTTTTCTGTTTTTAATTTGTAAATTTATATTCTTTAAATTTTTCTTACTTTGAATTGATAAGGCTATTGAAAAGTTCGGATGTTTGAGCGTTTTAAATTATAACGTAACATTAGTATTGTTCTTATTTTTCTAATCATTTTTATAGCTCCAACAATAAAATTTTAAACTCAAAACTGAAGAAAATATCATTTTTTTGAATAAAATGTAAAATTTATTCGAAAAATAGGTTTTTATCAAAAAATTATTCAAAAAAAAAATCTTAAACTCCAAACTAATGAAGAGATCAAATATATCATATATTATTTTTGCATCTGTATAGTTAAAACAGTTTCCCCTTAACATAAATCATACATATAAAAGTAGGGTTTCACTCTCCCATGATTGGTCCACTTGGCAATTATTTTAAAAACTAAAATTAAAATAATAATATTTATCTCCAATTAAAGTATAAATATAACATATTAAATCATACACATTAATCTACTTTTAAGTACTAAATTGTAACTGAAATTATAATTATAACTAAAATTATATAAATTATGTATTAAATATTTGTCTCCACTCAATGTCATTCAACAACACTATTAATTTTAATTGTAACCCCCTAATTTAATTCTTTTCTAAATGTAACTTCCATCATCTCATCCTATAAATAATCATTCTCTCATCCTCATCTACCATATCTCAAATCATAAGTATTTTTCTACTTTCTTTCTTTCAATCTTATGTTGTTGCATTGATTGAAAAATCAATTGAGACATCATTATAAGAGTTTGCTTCTAAATTTTATGTTTAGATATGGTATGTATTTTACATTTTTTTCCAATTTTATTTTAATTCTAATGTGTTACTAGAATATTCTTTAATTTTCATATTTGTAATTCAAAATTATTATGTATAATAAAATTTTTGATGGTTATAACAAAAAATTCATATTCATCGATGGAGATTCAAAAAGAGCAATTCAATCAATAGCACAACAAGAAGATCAAGTTTAAAAAATCCATCTCCAATATCTATGTTAGACATTTAGTTATTTTTTTACATAAGTTTGCTTCTAAATTTTATGTTTAGAAATGGTATGTATTTTACATTTTTTCCAATTTTATTTTAATTCTAATGTGTTACTAGAATATTCTTTAATTTTCATATTTGTAATTCAAAATTATTATGTATAATAAATTTTTTGATGGTTATAACAAAAAATTCATATTCATCGATGGAGATTCAAAAAGAGCAATTCAATCAATAGCACAACAAAGAGATCAAGTTAAAAAAATCCATCTCCAATATCTATGTTAGACATTTAGTTATTTTTTACATATTCATGTATCTTTAAACTGAAATAATTATTGTAATACATTTATCAAAGAAATTGTGCCTACTTTTTTGTTTTTTATCTCAATAATTGTTTCTAATATTTTTAATATACTCATCACCATTATGTTTAGTTTATTAATCTAATAGACACTTATATAAAATATTATTATTATATTTATTTTATTCAATTTTTGTACTTTTTTGTTTTTTATCTCAATAATTGTTTTGTAATATTTTTAATTTACTCACCATCATTATGTTTAGTTTGTTAATCCAATAGACAATTATATAAAATATTATTATTATATTTATTATTATTCAATTTTTGTGTGTTTTAATTTTTTTATTTCTTAAATTACTTTTTTTCTGATCTCAAATAATTTTTGGCAGCATTTTAATATACTCATTATTACATTTAGTTTCTGTGATCCAATAGATATATAATGATCATTATAATTTTTATTTTATTCAAGATTTGTGGTTTTTTCTTCTTCTACAACTACTTCTTTCTTATCTCAAATATATTTTTTGTAATATTTTTAATATACTCATCATTACATTTAGTTTTTATCCAATATATCATTATATAATTTGGCACGAAAAATTCGTACCCAACCGCATATTATTACCTATGTAAAAAATATTTCTCAGCATTGGCTTATATAAAACCAATGTTAATAACTCATACTAAATAAATTTAAGACATCAAACAAAACTACTAAAATACATTTACTACGTGATTAAACTCACATTGACCATAATTATAATTTGAATAGTTATCCTACTAATTTTACAAATTTATAACTCTTTAAATACATTTATTTTGTAAATGTAACTTCCACCATTCATCATTGTATAAATAAACATGTTCTTATTTTTCTCCACGATAACTAAAAATGTTAATATATGCATAATAATTTTACATGTTAAAGAATAAAAATATGCAACAAGGCCACGCATAAGCAAAACAAAACAAAATTATAATATTTATTTCTAAATTCTAATTAACTCATATTCAAAGTCATGTATAAACTCTACATTTAATCCAAATGTAACTCCTACCCAATAATTATAAAAAAACTTCATTGCACTATATAACTCTACATTTAATCCAAATGTAACTCCTACCCAATAGTTACAAAAACTTTTCTCCCACTAAAATACATTAAATATTTGATTATATATATTGACTACAATTCATGAATTGAATGGTAAATATAAGATTAAATTCACATTATCATAATTTCCGAATTCATGAATAAATGCACATTATCATTAGCTTAGGCATAATTTTTGTTATTTAGATGTGCACTTTAGTTTTGGACTCATATTAGCTCTAGAGTTCAGCATTTTAATTTTTGTGAAATATTTTATATTGTTTAATTTCCTATTGTTAGTTAAGTCTTGGTTACGTATATCTTCTTTTGTCTTTTGTTTTTTTTTTCCTTTAAGATCTTCTTTGGTTTTTGCTTTGTTCTAAATGTAATTGATAAATTTTTTGCATCTTCTCCGAACCATATTCTTCACAATATGGTATAACTAAAAACTAAAGAGGAGGATGTGAAAGCATCAAATGCATTTTAAACCATTAAATGTATATGAAGAAATGAGTGGATTATGGAAAATAAAGTCAATTATAAAAGCAAGCAAGGATCTTTGAGAAAGAAATGAGGATATGTATGATAGGGAAACAAAGTTTTGAAAGGAAGAGGATCGGGCATAGAGGTTCATGGAATCACAACTTCACAAGCAGATGTAGAGCACAAGGTTTATAAAGTTCAAATGGTGGCTAACTTGAGGCAAGTGTTCGGATAATCTCGGAAAATAGTGAAAATATGATGATAGGTATGATAATAATAGGTTAACGTCGTAATTTACTTGTCTTTCCAGATGAAATATTTTCAGTTAAATTTTAATAAAAAATTTCTTATTTTTGTTTATTAAATTTATAAATATATATATAGCCTCAAGGGTGTTAATTAAATAAAATATGATCAACATAGGTGTTCACTAAATTAGGAAAAATGTATAGATTTTTATATTAATATATCCTATAAATTTTGTAATACTTTTTTTTTTCTAAGTTTGTTTTATAGATTTTTCATTTTATTTTAAATTTGGTATGATAAATAACCATACTAAATAAATTTGACAAAAATGCAAGGTTTCACTTTGTTTTTATTTGACCATTTAAGTTCCACATCGTTGTCATTAGGGGTGTCAAAATGGGTCAAGATTCATGGGTCAACCAAAACTCAACTCAACCCATGAACCCTAATGAGTTGAAATTTTGACTCAAATGAGTTGATGGATCAAATGAGTTATTGAGTCAAATGAGTTGATGGATCAAATGAGTTGGGTTATAATGGGTCAGTGGTTTCAATGGTTTACCCATTTAACCCATCAATTTTTGTTAAATTGAATCAAACCAATTTAAATCTCTAAACTGATTTCAATTTGAGTCTAACCAAAACTTCTAAACCGATTGAATATAGTCCTTAATTTTCCCGCCAAAAATGTAAATACACAATTTTTCCATCAAAATATAAATTCGTGATTTTCCCGCCAAAAACGTAAATCCGCAATTTTCCCGCCAAAAACGAAAAAACACAATTTTCCCGCCAAAATTTTTTATAATTTTTAACCAAAAACGAAAATATGTAATTTTCCCGCCAAAAACGTAAATCCGTGATTTTCCCGCCAAAAACGTAAATCCGTGATTTTCCCGCCAAAATTTATTATAATTTTTAGCCAAAAATGAGAATGTAAAATTTTCCCGCCAAAAACGTAAATCCGTAATTTTCCCGCCAAAAACGTAAATCCGTGATTTTCCCGCCAAATTTTTTTATAATTTTAAACTAAAAATGAGAATATAAAATTTTCCCGCCAAAAACGTAAATCCGTAATTTTCCCGCCAAAAGCGTAAATCCGTGATTTTCCCGCCAAATAATAGTGACGTTGATTATTATTATTATTATTATTATTATATTTTAATTATTAATTTATTTATTACATTAATAGGTTAATGATTCAACCCATTTAACCTTCTAACCCATCAAATTAAATGAGTTCATGGGTTGACTCAACTCATTTGGCTAAATGAGTTGAGTCAACCCATGAACTCATTTAACTCTAAACTCATTGGGTAATGAGTTGAGTTGAGTTGGGTTAACCATTTTGACACCCCTAGTTGCCATACAGGAAATTTTCAGATTTAATTTTCTAGAAAAACAATAATTATTTTTTTACTATGTTAGTTGAAAAAAAAATATTATTTTTATAATTTTTTAGAAATATAATAGAAGTCATTATAGAATAATCCACGCGTCGCGTGGGCTAACACCTAGTAGATGAAAAAAACAAACTTGCTTGGTTCAAATACAATTTCTTTGGTTAACTCATGTTTCATATACAAATTCAATCCAAAGTGAAATTGATTACTCATACCAATTCATTGGTTTAGCGATTAGGAAGCACCAAGTTATGGTAGGCGTGAGTGTAGGAGATAACTATCCCCTGGCTTCTTCCTTTTGCAAATACACTCATTAGCTTCCACAACAAGTAATTTTTCCATTGAAGTCTGTGAATAGCTTAGATCGAAAGCGATACTACAAAATCTGAGACAAGTCAAAAATCTGCTCTTTAAGGTTTTAAGCTCAGCGATTTAGGTCAAAATGTGCTCTTTCTCGTTGTGAGTCATAAAAATCAAGTGAAGATTTTGCTCTGGTAAGCTAATCAAGCTCTCTGCTTTGGAATTTTCTTTCGTTTTCTTCCACATTTTCCCGAGAAAATAAAAGCTTTAGCCTTTTTTGTTTCCCCTTTGTTCTCGGGTCAAGTTTCTGTCGAAACATGATCAAACTCTTCTTAGGAATGTCTGATTTTGTGTGTGTGTTCACGATCTTCGTCTTCTTCTCTATTTTCTCGAGAAAAGCTAAGAACTTTGTTTCAATTTCAGGGTTTACAAGGAGAGAAATTTCATCTTGTCGGCGAAATCTCAAAGTGGTTTTAAGGTTTTGCCCAAATGTCTCAGAGACTTCATGTTTGCAAAAAATGTGGAAAAAAGTTTGCAACTTTAAAAGGTGTATATGGTCACCAGAGGATTCATTCTGGTAATTACAATAGAATCGAAGATGATAATGGTTTGCAAAAGATTTGGGGTCTTAAGAAGTCTAGGGTTTGCTCTGTTTCAGCTTCTGATCGATTTAAAGGATCTTCTTTTATGACTGAGATTGAGAAACATGAGGTGATTGAAGCTGCAATGAACTTGGTTATGTTGTCTCGACGAGTTTATGACTTTGCTTCTATCAGAAATTTGCCTCTGGGTGATGATTTCATGGATTTAGAGCTTAAACCTAGTCCTTTGAGAAGTAAATTGCCGAAAAAAACTCAGTCCAGCTATAAATGTCGTATATGTGACAAGAGTTTTGTGTGTTCTCAAGCTCTTGGTAGCCACCAGAGACTTCACAGATCGATGAAAGGGCATTTAGTGCGTAAAAGGGAGTACTTTGAAGATAATAGTTCACTGTTAGACTCATCAGAAGCTAAGATGATCGTTTCACAACCATCAAGCGTTGAAGTCTCTCAGGAGAAGATCTTACATTGTGCTGAGTCCAAACTAGATGACTTCAGCGAACAGCTTGCTCACTCGGATTTCGACAAGTCTAGTAGTTGCAGTAAAACCAGGTTCAGTGCATTACATTCTCCTATGAGAAGTAAATCTCACTTCAGCTATAGATTCAAAATATGTGGCAAAAGTTTTGGGTGTTCTCAAGCTCTAGGTGGTCACCAAACACTTCACAGATCGATTAGAGGACAATTAACGAGTAAAAAGGAGTATACTGAAGATGAGAATTTGCTGTCTGACTCATTAGAAGCTAAGAACATTGTTACACAACCATCAAGCTTTGAAGTCTCTGAAGAGAAGAAGAGCTTACAATGTGTTGAGCCGAAACTAGAGTTCCACGAACTGCTTGCTCACTCGGGTTTTGACAAGTCTAGTACTTTCAGTAAAACCAGGTTTACTGCATTACCTTCTGCTCCAGACGCTAAGAAGAGTGTTTCACAACCATCAAGCTTTGAAGCCTCCGTGGACGAAAATATCTTACATCGTGTTGAGCAGAAACTAGAGTTCAGCAAACAACTTCCTCACTCGTGGTTCGACAAGTCTAGTAGTTGCAGTAAAACCAACAGTGTATTAGGACATAATGTCCCACATCGGAAGTTGGAAGGGATCCTAAGTAATATATAAAGGGATATGGGCCACTCCACTCATAGCCAATTGGTTTTGAGTTGGAAGCCCATAGAACTTAACATGGTATCAGAGCCCGATCCACACATGTCCAACCCGATCCGACCCAAAGATGGTCCAATCATCGACAAGGCCCAAAATTGATGCCGTCGATCTAAGCCCGAATATTCCGAGATTAATGGCCAAAGAGCCATCATCTCGAGGGGGCGTATTAGGACATAATGTCCCACATCGGAAGTTGGAAGGGATCCTAAGTAATATATAAAGGGATATGGGCCACTCCACTCATAGCCAATTGGTTTTGAGTTGGAAGCCCATAGAACTTAACACAGTGCATTACATTCTCCTCTGAGAAGTAAATCTCATTCCAGCTATAGATTCAAAATATGTGGCAAGAGTTTTGTGTGTTCTCAAGCGCTAGGTGGTCACCAAAAACTTCACAGATCTGAAGATCGTAATTCACTGTCTGGCGTGACTGACTCAGAAGCTAGCAAGATTGTTTCACAACCATCAAGTTTCAAGTCTTAGGGGATACAAAATGTCAGTGCTTTGATGTTTCCAAGTCTTACCAAAGGTTTTGAGGTTTCACATTATACCAAATTACTACAGAGAAAGGATAGATATGTGTTCATCTATATAGAATCTTCAGATTAGTTGAACAATTAGGTATGTGTTAGAAATAATTAGAGATTGAAACTTTAGAATGATTTGATCTGCAAATGTGTATAGTTGTGACATTTTTCTCTAATTTTTTTTTACAGTGTTACAGACATGAAAATAAAAACCAGGTTTTGTTAGTCTGAAACTATCACTTAGTTTTGTCTCAATTCTTTGGTTCAAATACAATTTCTTCTTCTAGATTGTTGTATGTTTCCACCTATATGTCTGAGATACAGAATCAATCAGCCTAATTAGTCCAAAGCGAAATTGATTATTTATTGGTCCAATTAACCCAAAAAGACAGATTTTTCGATCGAACCGGTCCGACCGGTCTGGTCTTTTGTCCGGTTTTAATATAATTTGTTCAAAATTCCCTTTTTGATCTCATGGAAATGAAAAAAAAGCAAGACAAGATCAAAACTTTTATGATTTTATGAAAAAGAGGAAAGAAATCAAAACTTTAATTTAATTTTCCATGGATTACAACAACCAGTGGCAACACCCGCCGGCACCGGCGATGCAGCCACCGGAAATGAATCAGTCGACGGCGGTTGATGCGTATTACGCTTCATATTGTGCTTACTACGCCAATCCAGACCCTAATTTTAACTCTGATCTCCAAACACATGAATCATTAGCTATTGCAGTTCCACCACCGCCTGGTGTTGTGGATACGACGCCGTATTACACTTTGGATACAAATGCTCAGAACTTAGCTTGGCAAGAGTCTGTTCGTATGTATAGCACCGACCCTCTTTCGATTACAGGGCCTGTATGTTTGTTTGTTTCTCTTCTTTTCACAATATATTAGGATCTGTAGATAAAGTCAGGTCATTTGCAACAAGCTCTTGATTCTGTGATTGCTCTGTTTTGCTCGGATGTCAACGTTTGCACAAATTTGATATCAATGAGGTCAAGATGATGTCTTTTATGAATGTCTTAGTGATTCATTATGATCTGTGGATAAAGTCAGGTTCTTTGCAACAAGTTCTTGATTCATTAGCGAATTTCAGTTTACTCTGTGATTGCTCTGTTTTGGTCTCTTGAGATTCTTGTTTGTACAATTGATCTTGTTTGCTTCTCTTGGTGTGCAAAGGATCTGTTTATGCTTCAAACTTGCATGTAAATAGGTCACAAAACTACAAGTTCTAGGATCTCAAGATATTGTTTCGAGTATTTATTATTGTTTATGCAGTATTTACTATCTTCCTTGTGTGCTCAATTTAATATTTGCTTGTATTTTTGTAATTGAGGATGAATCAGGATGCTACAGGGGAGCCTCATAGCTTATACCCGCCGGGTGCAGGTTTCTCTTGGACCGGCCACATAGTTCAAGCTCAACTTCCTGGATTGAATAAAGTGTCAAAGAAGGGAAAGGTTGTTCGATCTGCTTACTGCAAAGTTTGTAAAGTTGACTGTAATGGTCCGAGTGTATTCGAGCAACATATATTGGGGAAGAAACACCTGAAGAACTTGGAGAAATTGAAAACATGTTTACTGTCGTCAAACACAGATTCTTTTTTGCCTGGACCAACAGTTGCGATCCCTTTAATAGGACCACAAGAAAACCCGTGTAAAAGCAATGCTAGGAAGAAAGGTGCGGAATCAACAACAGAAGATCTAGAAACAAAGAGACGGAGAGTCGTGGAATGTGGGGTATCAAATGAGTCGATTAGACTGTGTAGAATATGCAACGTAGTTTGTAATAGCGACACGGTTTACAATGATCATTTGGACGGTCAGAAGCACGCCACTAAGGCAGCGAAGGCCCCTGTAAATACCTAGACTCTTGGATCTTATTTCTAACATTCATTGTATTGCATCATTACATGATTTCCTTATTACCTTGATTACACTAAAAACATGGGACATACAAAATAATTCTTAAGGTAGACTGGTCTCAAGGCTCATGGAAGTTCGACTTGCTTAATATTCCAAATGTCTTTGGCGTATTCATGGATCGTCCGGTCACTGCTAAACTTGAATGAACCTGCTGTGTTCAAGATTGACATTCTCGTCCATCTCTGTAATCATTTACCAGCAATTTCAAGGTTAGATCTTTGAGTATATTGTAGTCAACATTAGCTTGATGTTCAAAGAAAATGCATCACTACTTACTTTCTGGTCTCGGTATGCCTCGTCGACTTTTCCTTGACATTCGATGTAACTAGGAAAGTCTTTGCCAACGAGGAAGTAATCCGCTCGTCCAAAGCCTTCATTTCCTTCTAAAGAGCCAATTAGTTCATCATAGCTGTTTGAGCCAAAGACACCGCTTCTAACGAACTTCTTGACTTCTTCAAAAGTAGGATCCAGAACAAACTGGAATGCAAAGAGCAAACAGGTCCAAATCAAGTTCTGTTTGATGTTACAACAGAAGCATGGCAAGGTTAACTCTTCAAATCGTATACCTTTCCCTCTGCTCTCTCCTTCCTGAGGTTCACAATCTCGTCAGCTTTGGCACCAAAGAGGAAGAAATTTTCTTCTCCAACTTCTTCTCTAATCTCGACATTCGCCCCATCCAAGGTTCCAATCAAAACGCAACCGTTCATCGAAAATTTCATGTTGCTTGTCCCACTAGCTTCCATCCCAGCAGTACTGCAGAGAGAATTCTTAAAGTCTTTAGAAAATAACACACTACCATTGATTATAACTTTTTTGAAAACGTCACTGAAACATATTGTTCTTCATGTCAGGATTTGTTTCTAAGGTTCTTATGACTAACAGAGAAACTAGTCCAGTTCTCAATTTACCAGTTATCTCCATTTCAGCATTTCAGCCTCATGGAGTTGTGACAAAATTATTAAGTGACTAAGCTAAAGAAGTTGTTACCTGATGTGCTGAGAAAGCTCACTTGCTGGAATGAGCAATTCAGCAACACTGACATTGTAATCAGGGACAAAGATAACCTACAAGGTAATTACACTTCTCATTAGCAGTTTTAAAAGTACCAACTTCCACAGATGCTTAAACCAGATTTGATGGAAGATTATGCAGGTTTTCTGCTCTACGCTTGAGAATACGAATAATACAAGCACGTAAGTATATATACCTTAAGCAGGTCACCTATTTCTGGATCATGGTTAATTGTAGATGCAACATCTGTGATGAATTTCACAATCCTCTTAGCTTGCACATATGTGGCGAATGCTTTTCCTCCAAATATGCAAACTCTTGGAACATATGCCTTCTCCCTCTCACTGGCACTCATTTCCTTCATCTTTTTGTAGCGGTAAACAATTCCCAAGATATTAAGCAGTTGTCGCTTGTACTCGTGGATACGCTTGATCTGCAAATAGTTTTCAATGCAAAAAGAAAAGAATTTACTATTTGATAAGATGATACTAAGCTTCTCAGACTTGCGTAATGGACTTCTCAAACCAAAAAGCAGCATCCAAGCAAACAACTCATCAATCTAAAAGTAGACAAGATCCTCTGGAACTGACCTGAATGTCGAACATTGCATCCGGGCTGACAGTATATCCGGTTCTTTCCTTAATAAGTGATACAACCTTCAGCTTGTTCTTCTTCTTTGCTGCCTTCCACTCGGATTGAAGATCTTCATTATCAGCAAACTGGAGAAAGACCGGAAGAATGTAACCAGTGTCTTGCGTTAAAGATAACAGCATGTGAAATACAATTGAATGATGACACATACCTTTCTTAGTTCCGCAAGCTTTTCAGTATTTAAGACCCAGTCTTCTGTGCCTATCCAGTTAGTTATAATATCACTTAGATATGGGTTGCAAAAACGAATCCATCGCCGTGGTGTTACTCCATTGGTTTTATTCTGAAATTTTTCCGGCCACAACTGCAAAGAAATATAAAATATTCAACGATGAGAGTCGTGTTCTTCCCGGTAGAGCATTTCATAGCATTATGCTTGACTTGTTAGAATGTTTACCTGAACGAAATCATTAAACACATCCTCCTTCACTATTTCACTGTGTATCTCTGCAACCCCATTTACAGCATGACCACCCACAACAGCAAGGTTGGCCATACGGACCATCTTTGGTGGTTTAACTGTTGGTTCTGGGATAACTTCCTCTTCCTCGCCAGCAGTTTTTTCCTCTTCTTGTTCCGTTTTCACGCCATTTTGAGCATCTTTTGCAGTAACTGGTTTGCTCTCCGGCTTCACGATCACATCTGCAAAGGCAGATGGCAACTCAACGTTTTCTAAGATCCTCATGGCCTTCAGTTTCTCTTCGAGTATGCTAGGATCCGCAGTGCCATACTCAGAGACAATAGTGCGAACTAGCTGCAATACATGAAAGTGAAAATTAGATCAGATATGGAAAAAACTAGAAGAGACATTTGATGTTTTCAAGGGATTACCTCCTCATCAATCTTTTCTATAATCTCTACATGACGAGGAAGCAATTTCTCCATAAGTTCTAAACTCCACTTCTCTAGTGCCTCAGGCAAGACTGTATGGTTTGTGTATGCCACGGTCCTAGAAACATTATTAACTTTTCAGAAACATGTTGCAGGCTTTATAAACTTGTAAACAAAGAACAAGAGACTATATAGGGCCAAATAGACAAGTAGTTCAGTCATTTTAAGAAGTACCTTTGTGTAATTTTCCAAGCATCCTCCCAGCTTAGTCCTTTCAAATCCATTAGAATCCTCATTAGCTCAGGAATGCATAGAGTAGGGTGAGTGTCATTCATTTGCACTGCAACCTTCTCTGGGAATTCTTCCCAGTTGACACTTCCTCCAGACCTTGTCTCAAAACGTGCTACGATATCTTGTAGCGAGGCTGAACACAGAGTGTACTGTTGCTTCAGACGAAGAGCCTTTCCTTCATTTGACTCATCTCCGGGGTAAAGCACGAAACAAATCTATTTCCGTTAGGAGGGAAGAAAACAACTACTTTTCAGTATATACACATCAAAAGCTCGTTGTTATATAAACAAGCACAAAGTGACGCAAGACTAATCTCCCTGTTATAACATATTCATTTCTGTTAGTTCTCACTCAATTTGTAAGATCTATGCACTATTCCAATTACCAGAAGGATTTTGTAAATAGGTCATGGTCCAAAAAAAATGTGAAAGCAACTTTAAATGAAACTTAATGCATCTTCAAATATAGACTTAAGCTTAATGAAGATACAAACCTTTTCAGCATTGAATAGAGCTTCTGCTGCCTCAGTATGTTTCCCAGAGTTATATGATGATAAATCAAAATCTTCGGAAGGAGCTTTTGTTGACCAGAGTCGTAGATTGATAGTAGTCTTAGTTTTATAACCAGGTATAGGAACATCATAAGCAACAGCCACTATGTCTTCTCCACCAATCCATCGTTTCTTACCATCTGATCCAAAAACCACTTTTCCGTAGAACTTAATAGGATATGAGACATCATTTCTGACTATTTCCCAAGGATTGCTTAGCTGAAAAAAACAGGTCAGCCCATAAACATGTCCACTGATCAGTATTGCTACAAGAGAGTACAAATTAGGATACAATGTTAAATAGCAAACACTGTATGACAAAAAATAAGAGAAGAAGACCTCAAGCCAATCTTCTGCAGCTTCCTCTTGTCCATCTTTTGTGATTCTCTGTTTGAACAAGCCATACTTGTATCTAAGTCCATAACCCCATGCCGGATAATTCAAAGTTGCCATGGAATCCAAAAAGCACGAAGCAAGTCTCCCGAGTCCACCATTCCCAAGTGCAGGATCTGGCTCCTACAAATTGGAACAAATAAAGAAGACAAATGCTCAGTTAAACCTTAAGACATAGATCTTTAACAAGATCAATCTACAATGATCAACAACTCACCTGACTAGCTACACTTTCCAAATCAAAACCAAGCCTCTTCAAAGCGTCACCATAAGCGCTATTAAGCCCAAGATTACCCACTGCATTCGATAAGGCTCTACCCTAAAATGTAAAATAGTCAGATACAACCAAGGAAAAGATCACTGAGAGTCAAAACACAAGAAACAATGAGTGTCAAAAGCAAAACCTGCAAGAACTCCATTGACAAATAATACGCCTGTTTCACATTCACCCTATTGTAATACTCATAAGTTGCATTCCAATTCATGATCAAAGCGTCTCTAACACTCTGCGCAGTCGCAAAAAACGCCTTTGGCAACTCAAACTTCTCCGGCGAAAACAAAGGCGTGAACTCCGCGTGATACTTGATACTCGAAGCTACCGAAGCAGCATCTGGAACAAACGGATTCATCGAGCTAAACACTTCTGAATTCAATCAACACAAAAATGCAAAATCGCAATCAAAATTTCAAACAGGAACGATCTAGAATACGAATCAGTAACTTCACAAACCCCAACATTCACTACAATCTCCAAATTCCATACCCTAATTACTAAAAAAGCAAGTATTTGAAAGAGACCTTGTTCGGAATCGAGAACTGCATCGGTTACTTTCGCCTTTGGTTCGCTAGAGACAGATTTCACCGATAAAAACGACCTTCTCGTCGGCGATGGACGCCAGTTTCTGCTTCTCGCCGGAAACATCCTTGTTCTCAATCTTCCGTCGTCGCAACGACGAGAAACGAGGCTAGATAAGGAATTGCATTGTACTGAAATCTCAGTTCCGGTCGATACACCGGAGATTCGCATTGTATCCATCAATCTCTCTGTGATAGAGTAGAGAACAATGAAGAGCTTGAAGCTATTTTCAGTTTCACGAGGCAATATCTTATCAGTGAGAGTGATCACTTATAAGTGATCTGTGATTGATTATGCCACGTGACGTTGATATCCACGTGTCATGGTTTTATTGGATGTTGGAAGTGTACTATCCGTGACAGATCACCTTTTCTCAGTGGGTTTCAGAGGAGGAGATATTTCTGGGAGAAAGCGACAAGAGAAGTAATGTACGCTGTACACGTGTAATGTCTCTTCATCGTCAATTTAGTGACGCCTTTTGCTAATACTCAATAGTTTAGTCCTCACTGGTGAAAGTTTAGAATATTACTTGTATTGAACGATTGATCGTAGAGTTATTTGCTAAAAATATGGCAAAACTTTGAGGTTTATTTGCAAAATGACATGATAGAAAATAGTGGTGTTTTTTTTTTTTTTTGTCCGCAATATATCCCTTATATATTAATAGAGAAACACTCTAAAATATAAACCTTACCTTGACGTGTTATTAACAAGATTGCCATGCTGACGTGTCGCTCTCAGAATGATTTGTCACCTATTTAAATAATTGCCCAAATTTTATTAGACTATTTACAGAATTTGCCATTAATATTATACACACATATATCCTACTAATCAAAAAGAATTTTTAATTAAAATTGCAAATAATTATGCAACAAATCTTTCAAAAATAAATATATCACAAACTTAAGCAAATGATTACGTAACTAATATTATTAACATAGGCTACGAGACCACCTTTATCTCTATATTAGCGAGATCATTAAAATGTAACAGAGGCTATGTCCAACCTTAAGCAAATCTTATCAAGTAACTAATACTTCCAAACTAAATATACAACCGCCTTACATTTTTTCCATATAAATATTAGATATCTATATTTTTTTGGTAAGTACATTAGATATCTATATTAATTAGCAAAGACATTAAAATGTAACATACATTTATGTTTATATTTAAGTGACAAAGACATTAAAATGTAACATACGGTGGAAGCGGATTTATCAGTGAGAGTGGCTTCACTTCTTCAGTCACGAGCAACATTGTCCTGGGAGAATAGCCGGTTGAAGCAGAAGATGGCGATATTAAAACAGGAAAACCTCATAAGAGAAGGAAAATAAACCACACATTCAAGAAGTCTGAATACAAAAAAAAATCTAAAATCCTATATTTTATTTCAAAATCAAATTAATTGTTTTTGATCCGATACCCGGTCAGTTCAACCGGCTCATCAAGTTACGGGTTAATGGCAGATTTTTGTGGGTTTTTTATTCGGTTTAAAAAAAACTAGACATCTGAGCAAAAAAAAAAAATACAAGACATTACCACTAAACCTAAACCGGAGAAGTGTACGGATCGCATGCTAACTGATCATGCCGAACGGTTCAGGTCGGACGTGAAAACACTAATTTCTACGTATATAAAGAAATTTATTGAAAAACACAAAATATTCAACCTTTTTAAAGATTGAAAATTTTCTTTACTTATATAGAAAATTGTGACCATCAACCTTTCCCGCGCAAGGCGCGGGTTCTGTATCTAGTATTCCATTATAAAGGAAGAGTAAGTTTACAGAGCTGAGTTTACAACTTAGAAAAAGAGAGAAGTAAATATATAGTGATTAAGGAAACCAAGAGACAACATATGGAGAATTACAAATTCTAGCATTTCGAGCAAGGTTATCAGCGAGCTGATTTGCTTGTCGATTTATATATTTGAAACGATAAGAGTCATGTGCCAATGTTGTAATGTCCTGCAAAAGTCCCTGAATCTCGTGAGGACCTATGACATGAGGTCCAAAATGGGCATTCTTCTCCAAGTACCCATACAAAGAGATTGAATCTCCGCAGAAGGTGACATTACAATAGTTGAGGCGGCGTAGTTGGAGTATAGCTTCCTTCAAGGCAATTGTTTCTGCTTCAAGCACATTGTTTGTGGGTTCAATTGATGCACTTCCTCGAAGGATAAAACGGCCCATTGAATCATGTAAAGTCCAAGCAATGCCGCTGTTGCTATCTTGATTAATCCATGAGGCATCTGTGCAACAACAAAAAGAGGGAGTTTGAGTGAGGACCTGTTGAAATGTTAGTGGAGCTGGCTGTTTGACCTTGGAGGGTTGTTGCACATTTGTAGACAAATAGTGGTGTTTAATCCAGATATAGTTTGCATAGATTCAATTTTTTATATCCGAGAAACTAAATCTGAATCCGAACCAAACCAGAAAAAAATTGATCTAATACCAAAGTTGTTATGTAAATTAAAGATTTATTTGACTAAAACCCGATTTGAAGCGAAACAAAAATCGTATCAAACCATCCATTCTAAATAATTTTACTTTTGGTATGGATAACATTATTCGTAAACCAGAAATCCGAAAAACTATAAAAACCAAACTGAATCTGAGCTGAAAACCGCAAATTTTGAATATGATTTTTTATAAATAACATAAAATTTCCGAATGTTATTTTTTTGGTCCAAAAATATCATGTTAAGACAAATCTAGCAAATAGCAAGGAATATGGACCAGACAAGATGATGAGTCTCTCTTAGTGATGTTAAAACGGATTGCCTGGACCAGTTTAGACCTAGCTCGTTTACATCGCGCTTGTTTAGACCCTACCGTTTAGACTCTTTAGATCCGGCCCGTATAAATTACTTTAGTCCGTTAGGCCCGTTTAAGTTGTAGTAGCCTTTTTTGGGATAAAAATATGATTTTTTGGTGTTTTTTAGGTGTTTTGGATCAACCAAAAGCTTCAAGAGAATAAAGAATTATAAAAATCAAACCAAAATGAAAACGTATAGCTTGAGGTCAACGTCAAGTTCTAAACCAAGAAGAACATGAACAAAAAGTGGGATTCACATTCTACAGTATTATAAAGAACTTGAACCCAGTTGCATCTGTATCAAGTTCAACACTAGAAGCTAAGATACTTGTAATGAAAACAATCAAATTAACAGAGATTGCCAAGAAAAATCAAAATGAATCTTTGAACATATAAAACAAAAGCAAAATCACTAGCATAAATGTAATGAAGGATGGAAGATATCAATCAAATCAGCACCGTCCATTTCATATTAAAGATTTAAAACAAATTACCACCGTCCATTTATTTCCCATGATACTTCTTTCTTACTTGGCCGCAACACCCAACTACATCACATTCTTTCTATTACCATTTACATAAAAGGAGATTCGTATCTCAAAACTTCTTGGAGAGACATACCAAAAAACATAAACTCCAAATCGCAACATTTTCGCGTTTTTGGATGGGGAAGAAGCGGTTTAGTGTCGCGGTGGCGGTTACATTCTTATCCTTGGTTCATATTGTTGTCTCAGTTCCATTCATAATGCTTCATGGAATTTCAGCTGAATGTTCTGATCATACAAATTCTAACTTCCCAAGGCTTCTCTCTAACCTCTCCGGCTCTCGTGGCTCTTGCGTGTAGCTTTTACTATTTAAGACATCTATAGTACTGGCCATTCCAACCATATTTGGTTTGATCCTAACTCGTTTTTTCTTTATGAATCCAGAGAAATTGGAAATGGAAAAAGCGATTCATGGCTTATGCCACTTACAAAACAAGTAGAAATCGTGTGTGACAAGGTGAAGCAAATGAAAGAGTTACGTCTAGGATACAATATTGTTGCAAGATCTCAGGTTTCTTGATACTTTCTTGCAAACTAAAACAAACAAAAGTGCGGTTGTTTTTATCGTTACCCTTTCGAATTTCATGGATGATGGAACAACAGGGGAACTTAGTAGCACGCGGGTTGATCGAGTTTTGCGATGATGGGCCTCCGGTTTACAACTATGTATCTTTAGCTGGTCCTCATGCTGGAGAATCCTCTGTTCCTTTTTGTGGTGTAAGCTCTTTTTAAGAGTTTTTATAGTATTTCATTTCAATTCAATCAATAACAGTAACAACAATGTCTTTCTTTTTTTTGTTTGTTTTTGCATAAAGTGTGATATCGAATGGTGTGATATAGCAGATAAATTGATGAAGAATAGTATCTATTCCGACTTCGTTCAAGTATCATTCTCTATCTCGCTATCGCTAACATGATTATGAATCTTACTTTATCAAGGAGTAATTTTAACATCTTCAATGATTATGCAGGATCATTTAGCTCCTAGTGGTTATATCAAAATCCCTACTGTATGTTTATTCATCATGCATATATATAGTTGAGAAGAATCATATTACAATACTTAGTTTTTAAAAGGAATCTTTGTTTTTGGTTTCTCAGGATATCCCAGAGTATATGAAAAGTTCTAAGTATCTACCAAAGCTTAACAATGAGATACCAAACGAAAGAAACTCAACTTACAAAGAGCGTTTCACGCGCTTAAAGAACTTGGTTCTGATTATGTTTCAGAATGATACGGTTATTGTTCCCAAAGAATCATCTTGGTTCGGTTTTTACCAGGATGGTAATTATACATCTCAACCTCCTCTTCTCTCCCCTCAACAGACAAAGCTCTATACAGAAGATTGGATCGGTTTGAAAACATTGGATGTTGCTGGAAAAGTGAAGTTTGTGAGTCTACCTGGCGGACATCTCCAAATAGCAACTACCGATGTTATCAAATACGTAGTGCCTTATCTTTAAAACCAACCATCTTGATCCATATAAAACGAAGGACGCGTTGCGTCATTAAAAAGAACAGATACCTCATTTGTTATATGCTTATTTATGCAACAGTGACCGATGATTGTGTGTAGAACAAGGATCCACATTCATATAAAGAAACTTACATACCTATCTAAATTATCCAAGTAAACAGTATCATCTCAAGTAAGAGCCAGGAAAGTAGACCTTACTTTCCCTGAATCAAATACTAGAAAGGCTTGGAGGAACTCCGCTTGCTCATCGTTGTTAAGACGGGACTAGCTATGTTGCATGGAAACGGAAACGGAAACGCGGAAGCGAAACGTTTCGGAAACGGGAAACGATTTTTTCTAAAATTACGGATTGGAAACGTTTTGGAAACGTATATACATATATATAGATATACATATATATATATATATATATAACATTAACATAAAACTATATTAAAGAAAAAATGGTTTAAACAATACAAATCCAAAACATCAAATATTAAATAGGTTAATAACTAAATTTCTAAAAGACAAAGATTAAAAGGTTTAAATTCAAATATTTAAATCAAAGATCATATAAATTTGCTTCCAAATCTGATTTGTCTAGAGAAATATCTTAAAATTTAGAGTTTTCCAAAATTAGCTATATACTTATATGTATTATATAATTTTAATATATCCAACTCTTATTTATTAAGTTTCCAAAAGTCAATAAATAGAAACTCCCGCGTTTCCATTTTTGAAACGCGAGTTTCCATCGTGTTTCCAAACATAGAATTTTAGGAAACATGTTTCCGTGACGTTTTTCGTGTTTCCGAAGAGTTTCTGTTTCCGAAACGTTTCGGAAACGGGAAACGGACCTCTGAGAGAGTTTTCATGCAACATAGGGGACTAGTACTCATGATTTGATTGTCCAATCCTAGAATGAAGACCAGAGAGGCAGAGACCGCAAAAACAATATTCTGTGTGACAATATCTCCTTTAGTAGCATCGTTGTTTTGGTTCCTTCTTCTGCAATGGCATCATTGTTTTTGTTGACTCTGCTGCGACGCATCTTCACCTTTAAACTGGACGCAAAGAGAAGCAGCTACCATGAAAAGGCTACTTGGCTTACCAAGAAGAGAATCATCTACTATACTGATTGATGCAACTTCATGAAACAGAAACAAAAACATAACCTTTTTATTGAGTCTTAAGGAGAGGTACAAGAACAAAAACAATATTACACTCCAATTGATCCACTTAATCAAGCTGATCTCTACAGGCAACTGAGGAAGCCATCACCCAAAGAATAGCATTTTATCTATTACGAAAAGACTCAGACTCGAAAATGGCATAGAGACTAGAGAGTACAGATAAACAGAAACAGAATGAGCAAACCAAGAAAACACTCACAATGCAGTTATGTTACAATTTCTAAAACTAAAAAAAGGTTATCTTATTGGGTTCCCAGAACATACCAAAATGCAGTTTTTGGACTTAAACTAGTCTAGTCATTAACAAAGAGCTTTGGAAGACTTTGATTCTTTCATGACACATTGGTCAAGGCTCCATTTTTAGTGGCAATGGAGGAGAGAACATTAAGCTTCCTTTTTCAAGCTGGATTTCCCTCTCGTGTTTGTTACTTCCTTGGTGGTTCGCATTTCTTGTCACTCCTGTCTTCCCTTCACTGCCCTCTGAAGAACAAACTTCATTTTCAGAATCAGTTTCAGTTTCTTCTTCATCTTCAAAGCTCTCGTTTCCCTTGGGAACGTATTTAATTTCCTCAACCTCATTCGAATTCCCTTTCTCTTCTCCATTTCCATCGTTTGACCCGCTTGTTGAGTCATCTTCCTCATTTATGCTTGACTCTGGTGTATCTCCATAAACTTTATATACATTCCCATTCTCATCAAAGCTCACAGTTTTCACCACACGGTTTGTTTTTCCTCCACTTCCTTTCACCAAAACCCTGTTCCCAGTTTTCGAACCATGCCTCTTTCCATCATCCCTGGACATCACGAGGGTTTCCTCTCCATCATCAACTGAATCATCCTCTGCACTAGACGTTAGGTCGTCTGAATCTCCAAAAACCTTACACACATTCCCATTATCATCAAAGCTCACAGTTTTCACCACCCGAGTTGTTTTCCCTCCATTTCCCTTCACCAAAACCCCGTTCCTAGTTTTTAAACTCTGCCTCCTTCCATTACCCCTGGACATCACAAGGGTTTCCTCATCACCATCAACTGAATCATCCTCTGCACTCGAAGTTAGATCATGCGTAGTTCCATATACCTGACACACATTCTTGTTCTTGTCCAATACAACAAATTTCCTAACCGGAGGCTTCACTACATTCTCTTTAATTACAACCCCGGTTCCACAGTTAGAGCTAGCAACCTTTCTCTTATCACTAGAACTCATTGGAACTTCTTCACTATCATCAGTCATGTCTGCATTGTTATCTTCATCCTCACTAGAAGTAACAAAATTGTTCCCCACTCGGTTCCTCGATTTTTCGATTGTTCTGGCTTCTGCTACACCAAAACCCTGAGGCTTTTTGCCATTAACTTTGCTGCGTCTACTCACACTTATTACAGACTTAGCAACAAATTCACACCTTTTAACAGCACAATCATCAACATACTGCAAAAACCTAACCAAATCTCTGCTCAGTGATCTCTTACTACTTCGTATCATTGGATCAATCCTACCCTAATAGAGAAAAACGATACCAAACTTTAAGATCTAGAAAACTAAAAAGACAGAACTTTCCAAGGATTCAAAAAGGGTTTAAATACCTGAATTGAATCCAGTTGAAGAAGCAAGTCAGTAGCTTTTCGAGACACAACCTTGAAAGGGAAAATGGGTTTCCCTGAAACCGAAGATTTGAGAGACAAGAAGCTAGATTTTATCATTGCAAGCTCCTTGAGTTGTCTAAAGGATATGGATCTGTGAACAAGGTAAGAGCGGAAATGGGTTTGAATAACACGCGCCGCCGAATCTCTTAGTGTAGAGTGTCGATCTCGACGTTTCTCATAGAAAGCTGAAAACTTGTTGAGGGACGATTCAAGATCATCGATTTTGCGGAGGAGACAAGACATAACAACTTGGTCGTATTCTCGTGGAACATTCTTTTGCTGACGCAAAACACGGTGTTGACCTCTAATAACATTGAAGTTTTGACACGAAGTTTCGCAGGAACATTGAGTTTCTTGTTGATGATTTTGAAGGTAAGTTGCGAGAAGATGGAGAAGATTATCCTCCGGCGGCGGCGGCGGAGAAGGGTGGTTGATTTGGGTGCAGCAGTGTGTTGATGTGGCGACTAGAGGGATGTTATTGTGGTGGTTTTGGTGGCGTGAGCACCCGTTGTTGTTGTGATGGTGGTGGTGGTGAGAAGCCATGGAATCGACGGCGGAGTCTGCTATTAGATCGAATGTAGTATTAAATGGCTTTTGACCAAATCGGTCCTGTGAATAAGAAACCTCTTTAGAAGAAGAAGACAGAGAAACGTCACGTAGTGCTCATTATTTCTTACGATCCGGCACGCATTTCGTCTTATTGACTGGTCAAAACAAACCGGATGGGTTCTCTGCACGAGGGTTATAAACTGCTATGGTCGAAGCAAACCGGATGGGTTCTGCACGAGGGTAATAAATTGGTAGGAAAACGGCTATAATCAACCCAAACAAAATTCATAATATATTTTTTCTTTTTATCAACCGCTTTAATTATTGTTGCTAAAAAGAATTTAAGGAATGTCATTTACAAAAGTGATATGATGCGGTTCGATACGAACTCTTCGTGCCAAATTATCCTCTTTAGTATTTGCACTTTGAAGAATTAAAAAAAGAAAGAAATTTGAAAATTTTTCCTTGTTGATCTGGATCTTCTTCAAATACAATGAAAAGGCTGGCTATTAGGTTGGAGAAGACACAATTTTCACCAAATCTGAACAATATGTATAAAAAGCTACGTCTTGATTATCGACTCCAATCATACACTTCATCGCCCAGACAAAAGCTTCAATTTATGTATGGAGTGGAGTAAGGCTTCTACGAACGTTGATAGCTCTCATGGTTGGCGCGTCTCCGTTTGATGACGTACAATACCACCTTAAACCTGAAAACTTATCATTTTCTTTCCATGAACTATCAACCAAACAACGATGTCCAGAATACAATGCATCATGTGGAAAATGTCTCTCACAGGTGTGGGTTTCCGAATTTAAAGACCCATGAGTTTCAGTATGAAGCTCGGCTTAAGCTAACTGCCACGATTGTGTCTCAGTTTCCACTAAGCGCAATACCTCTAATGAATCATTATCCACGTTCTCGTACAATTTATCAATCCTTGCTTTCCAGATATACCAAATTATCCATGGGAACGAGGATGATGCACATCTACGTAAGGAGTGGTGTGTGGAGATTTTGTGACAACAAGGAGTGGAGATTTGTTGATGATGAAAAAAATCGTGGGAGATTACTGAATTCTGAATTGACTACAAAAATGAATTTTGAGTCGACTACTGAATTAGATAGGTAATATATGCTTCTTCAACGAAAATTAAATTTTATAGGACACATTCACGTAAAAATAATTAGACATTTCATTATGTATAGCTACGATGGAGTGAAAAAGGGCTAAATCCTACAAAATATGGATGTGAACTTACTTATTTAAGGTTGGGACACAACTCAAATGCTATTTGTAATATTCCTAGACCAATTATTGTTATTGTTTAGACAAATTTGAGTTACAAAATAGTTTTATTAGTCGAGAGAGTTGGCTATGTATCTTCTGTATTTCGTATTTCATAGAAATATCAATAATTGAGTTCATACTTGGAGCAAATAATATAAGATTACTTTATGCCCTGTTGCGATTTTACGTTTCTCTTACTTGATAGATTTACAGCAATGCCAAGGTAAAGTTAGTGGTAGATTTATGTTAATTTGATTTGTATGGTATGAAGATATATTGAGGTTGTTAATGGTTAGTAGACTCAAGAGTAGTATGATAATAAAGCTGTGAACATGATTGGTACAGATTCATGGACAGTTACAGATGATGTATAATGCACAAGACATTGAGAACAAATGCAGACATAGTTGCAGTTATCTTTGTGCTAGACACAGATGATCTTTAAGCTAGAGAATCTAAGACAGCACATTGTGAAGTCACATGGATTAAAGTGACGTGCTGAACCTTGGAGTCTTATTAAGAAGATCCAAGAAGTGAGAGCTCAACCAGATCATGTTTCTTGCTCATAAGAACAAGTCTTTCATAAAGCAGAATATCAGCTGAGTGAACCTGCGGTAACAGAGCAGAAAACAAGAAGACACTGTGTAACGCAACAGAGGTAGAAAAGGCTCAGGTTGTAGAAATCACTAGAACGGCTGTATCAGTACATGGACATAGCTGCGTCAAAGTGAAAGCATGTTTCAATTTGACATGCCTGTATCGTGGTGCAGAGCAGTTGTGCGATAGAACAGAGGATTGTGTCAAGTTGACAAAAGAGCACAAGCTATTACCCAAAAGATAAAAGGAAAAGCTTGTGGAAGGTAGGGTTTTGGAGAACTCTAAGAGGTATAAAAGGAAGAGGTTGTAACAAGAAAAAGGTTACACACCTTAGACCTAATATTGAGAGAAGCACACAAGTTGTGTGTGGTGTTATCCCACTAGACAAATAGATAGATTTGTTAGTGGCTTTTGTAGAAGAACCACACTCGTCGGAAAAGACAATGAGTGTTGGTTTCTTTGATTCATCTAAATAAGAGTGGTAGGCACAAGTGTGTGCTAGATACCATTGGCAAATGTGATTTTTGCATTTTTATTCTAGTGAATGATTCTCGACTTGGTCCCGGAAATGTAGGTTATCCGAACTCTGTTAACAAATCTCTTGTGTCGTCTCTTCTCTATACTCTCATCTCTCCTTAAACATCTCATATGCATATCTATCTTATAAGCTTTGTAGATCTAGCAAGCATATCTTACTTCATGATATAATTAATAACTTTCTTTACATGGTTTAGATGACCAGCCATGTAAGTGTTTTTTTTTTTCTTTTTTTTTTCGTGGCTATTTTTTTTTTCTTGTAATTTCATTTTTTTAATAATTAAAGGTATAATAGGTTTTTAATTATTATAAAATCTATTTCATCAAACATAACTAGAAAAAGTATAGATAGACAAATTAACAAAAAAAATATCCTTTATTTCTAATTTTCTCTTTTTTTTTTATTGACATCTAGACCAACATGCTTCCACTTGAAAACGTAAGATAAGAAGTGGATTTATAATTAGATCATGTTTTTTTGGCAGTTTTTATAGATGCAAGTCGATCTTACAATATTTTTTAACTAATCTATACTATATAAAAGTCGAGGCTATAAGCTTCTTAGGCCATCCACGTAGGATTTTAAACGACCATTCGCGGTTGGACATCTCATTAATTAACATTTTTAGCAATCATAATAGTTAACATTTTTACATTATAACATTTTCTATATTACAATATTTATGAAAAGGAAAAAAAACAATATATATGTAAAGAAGAGAAAAATGTCAAATGTTAAAAACAACATAGAGAAGAGAAGGTCGTGGTACCGAGAGATGTTTTTGTGGGAGCCAAACCATTATGGGAAGACTTTCTGCAAGGTACATTTCTGAGTACGAAAGCACCACATGTGGGGAAGATTCATATGATAGTGAATAAGATTTGGCGTTTGGGAGACAAATCTTCGTTAATAGATGTTTTTGAAGTGAATGAAACAACTGTCAAATTCCGTATAAGAAACGAAGGTATGAGACACAGAGTATTGAATAGGAGAATGTGGAATATCATGGACATCCCTATGATTGTTTCAAAGTGGACTCCTTTTAAGGAGGAATCGCAGCCTGCCATGAAGTCTATACCACTTTGGGTCACTCTAACTAATATTCCACCAACCATGTTCACGGATAAGGGTCTAGAGTTTCTAGCTAGTGCGGTTGGAAAACCAATTCGGCTTCATCCAAAAACTGAGGCATGTGTCAGTTTTGAGGAAGCACAGATTCTAGTGAAAGCTGATCTAACAAAGGAACTGCCTCAGAAGTATGTGTTTACAGGGGAGGAAGAAGGGGAGCTGGATTCAACAATCAACTACACTTACCCGTGGCTACCTCCAAGGTGTAGTTGTTGCCAAAAATGGGGGCATCTAAGGGATACTTGTCTCTCTATGGGTAATAAATCTCCTAGAAAGCATGTCCCAGAGTCTGAAATTAAGAAGAGAACAGATGAGATAGTAGAGCAGAGAACAGAACAGGGCAGCGGGGAGGAGAAAGGAGATACTGTTGGAGTGGTCTCTGAGACTGCAGTTGCTCAATTATCAGATCCTGCAAACAAGACTGAAAATGCAGACGGGCAGTCATGGATAACCCCATCAAAGCCGGGTAGTACATCGGGGAAAAAGCGAGAGGAACTGAAATTTGGTGAGGTTTCCATTCTGTCTAATTCTTTTGCGGCGCTTGGAGCAGAGGATGAAGCTGATGATGCTCAGGTGGTTACCACAACTGAGAGGGAATCAACTGATCCAAATAAACCAAATAATACTACGACACAGGAGTTGGTGAATAATCAGTGCTTAGAAGAAACAGAGGACCAAAATGAGTTGCTAAAAGGGTCTGCCGGAACAGAAAAGATCCAAGGGTATAAACCTGAGCTACAGTTGCGTCCATCGCTACCTCGTGGTTCAAAATCTGCGCACAAGACGGTTTCAATGCCTTCTACTCAATCTGCTAGGGTAAATCCTAAAGATCGAAGTAAGAAGGTAACCCCCAAACACCATTAGATGTCAGGTTTCTTTTGGAATGTCCGGGGATTAAATAAAACGTCAAAACATTCCATAATCAAACGGTGGTTGGAGGAGAAACAGTTTCAGTTCGGGTGCTTTCTTGAGACTCGAGTTAGGGAAAGAAATTCAGAACGCTTGGCTACTAGTTTATTTCAAGACTGGTCGGTGTTAACAAACTATGAGTATAATCGAAGGGGTCGTATCTGGGTGATTTGGAGAAACAACGTCAGAATGAGTCCTTTCTTTAAAAGTGAACAGCTGATCACTTGTTCGATAAAATTGGAACCACAAGAGGAAGAGTTTTTCTGCTCTTTTGTTTATGGCCTGAATACTGGAGAACAAAGAAAGATCCTATGGCAAGAGCTGCAGGACCACTTTGATTCTCCCATTATTCGATCAAAGCCTTGGATTATCTTTGGGGATTTTAATGAGACGCTTGACATGGAGGAACACTCACGGGTGGAGGATAATCCGGTAATAACATATGGTATGAGAGATTTCCAGGGAGCAGTGAACTACTGTTCTCTTACGGATATGAGCTCTCATGGGCCTTTATATACCTGGTGGAATAAACGAGAAGCTGACCCTATTATGAAGAAGTTGGATAGGGTTATGGTTAATGATGTTTGGTTGCAGGCTTTTCCGCAGGCTTATAGTGTCTTTGAGGCTGGGGGCTGCTCTGATCATGCGCATTGCCGAATAAATCTGAATGGAGAAGAAGAAGGATCCAAAAGAAAACGAAAGCCCTTTAAATTTGTTAATGTCCTTGCAGAGATGGAGGAATTTAAACCGATGCTTAACGACTATTGGAAGGAAACAGAGCCTCTGTTTCTGTCTACCTCCACATTGTTCCGGTTCACAAAAAAATTGAAAGGGCTCAAACCATTGATCAGAAACTTAGCAAAAGAGCGCATAGGCCATTTAGTGAAACGGTCTAAAGAAGCATATGAAAACCTTTGCAAGCACCAAGAAGAGAACTTGAGAAACCCAACAGTTCAAGCTATGGAAGCAGAAAATGAAGCTTACTTACAATGGGATCACGTGTCGGGCCTTGAGGAAAAGTTTTTGAAGCAGAAATCAAAATTGCATTGGCTGGAAGTGGGGGACAAGAACAACAAAGCTTTTCACAGAGCGGTTGCGTTGAGGATAGCAAGGAATACAATCCGTGAGGTTCAATGCAATGATGGTAGCATAGCAAAAGGGGAGGAGATCAAAGTAGAGGCAGAGAGATTCTTTAGAGAATTTTTGCAACAGGTACCCGCAGACTTTGAGGGTATCACAGTAGAGGAACTCAACGAATTGTTGCCATTTCGATGCTCAGATATTGACCAACACATGCTGACCAGTGTAGTCTCGGAGGAAGAGATCAAGAAGGTGCTATTCACTATGCCAAATGACAAATCTCCAGGTCCTGATGGGTTTACATCGGAGTTCTACAAGGAGGCATGGGATATAATAGGGAAAGAGTTCACTACTGCAGTTCAGTCTTTTTTTGCAATGGGGTTTTTACCTAAGGGGATTAATTCAACTATCCTTGCTCTCATACCCAAGAAATTGGAGGCGAAAGAAATGAAGGATTACAGGCCCATATCTTGCTGCAACGTAATATATAAAGTCATCTCTAAGATCATCGCAAATAGGCTTAAGAGAGTTCTCCCCAAGTTCATAGCGGGTAACCAATCAGCTTTTGTTAAGGATCGGCTATTAATTGAAAATGTCCTTCTCGCAACAGAATTGGTTAAGGATTACCATAAAGAATCGGTCTCAGAACGATGTGCGATCAAGATAGATATCTCTAAGGCTTTCGATTCAGTCCAATGGTCTTTCCTAATTAATGTCCTCACTGCTATGAACTTTCCCCAGATGTTCATACACTGGATCACTCTCTGTGTTACTACGGCGTCATTCTCGGTTCAAGTGAACGGTGAGCTAGCAGGCTACTTCCAGAGTTCAAGAGGACTCCGACAGGGCTGTTCCCTATCGCAGTATCTTTTTGTTATAAGTATGGACGTCCTCTCGAAAATGTTAGATAAGGCTGCGGGAAAAGGGCAAGTGGGTTATCATCCACGCTGCAAGAAGCTAGGTTTAACTCATTTGTGCTTCGCTGATGATCTAATGGTGCTCTCGGATGGTAAAGTTCGGTCTATAGAGGGTATTGCTGCGGTTTTTGATGATTTTGCCAAGTATTCTGGTCTTAAAATTAGTATGGAGAAATCAACAATGTTCCTTGCTGGAGTCTCAGCCCCTACCCGACAACAGATTTCAAGTAAATTCCCTTTTGAAGTTGGTCAGTTGCCGGTGAGATACTTGGGACTACCCCTAGTCACTAAACGTCTCTCAACCGCTGACTATGCACCTCTTATAGAACAGATACGTCAACGTATTGGGTCTTGGACTTCTCGCTATCTCTCTTTTGCAGGCAGATTCAATTTGATAAGTTCGGTTCTCTGGAGTATATGTAACTTCTGGTTAGGTGCATTCCGTCTTCCCCGCGACTGCATCAAACAAATTGACAAACTATGTGCAGCATTTCTCTGGTCAGGTTCAGAAATGAACTCAAAGAAGGCAAAGCTGTCATGGGATCAAGTGTGTAAACCAAAAACAGAGGGTGGTCTAAGCCTTAGAAGCCTAAAAGAGGCAAATGATGTATGTTGTTTAAAGCTGGTATGGAGAATACTCTCCCAACGAAGCTCTCTATGGAAACAGTGGGTAGAAATGTACTTACTTAAAAGAGAATCTCTATGGACAGTTAAAGAGACCGCAACCACGGGCTCATGGATTTGGAAAAAAATAATCAAGTATAGAGATGTAGCAAAGAATTTTTGCAAGGTGGAGGTTGGAAATGGCGAAGCTGCGTCTTTCTGGTATGATTCTTGGTCCCCATTGGGAAGACTTATTGATGTTGCAGGGGTAAGAGGCGTCATTGATCTTGGAATCAATCGGAAAATGTCTGTGGCGGAGGCTTGGAGAACACGACGACGACGCCGGCATAGAACGGACTCTTTGAACTCGATTGAAGAGATGCTTCATTCAAAATGGCAAACTAGAACAGAACAACGTGATAGAGTTCTGTGGAGAGGAAAAAACGACACTTTCAAAAGCCATTTCTCAACCAAAGACACTTGGAACCACATTCGAACTACATCTAACACAGTAGCTTGGCACAAAGGAGTATGGTTCACCCATGCGACACCGAAATACTCCTTTTGTGTATGGCTCGCAGCTCATGATCGCCTTGCCACGGGAGCCCGTATGTTGAAGTGGAACAGAGGAGCATCGGGAGTTTGCAATCTCTGCAATAGCTGCATAGAAACGAGAGACCATCTCTTCTTCTCTTGTAGCTTTTCCTCAGAAATATGGGACTCACTTGCTCGGGGATTACTCAAACAACACTATACTACGGACTGGGCTCAACTTCTAACACTCATTTCGGACACCCACACGGATCGAGTGGATAGTTTTCTTATGCGTTATATCTTCCAAGTCACAGTTTACACCATATGGAGGGAGAGGAACGGGAGACGTCACGACGGGGTCACCAATCCAGCAGCTAAGCATATCCAATGGCTCGACAAACAAGTGAGAAATCAGCTAACTACCATAAGAAGAATGAAGGATCGTCGTTACGAAGCCAGCTTCCAACGTTGGCTACAAAGCCGAACCTAATCTCGTATTTTCTCTATAATTTCTGCTTCGCAATCTATTTCTATCAGACATACGATGCACTAGTTGTACAAACGTTATTTTTTCTTTGAATTTAATTTAACATTTAATTCAAAAAAAAAAAAAAAAAAAACAACATAGAGAAATTTTCCTTTCTTAAATGAAAAGAAAAAGGTTAATAGGGAAAAATTCTACTTAACAAAAAAAAGTGAGCAAGAAAGTTTCTAAATACTAAAGTATTAGTTTTATGTATAAATAGTATTCTATAATTTAGAATGGCAAGGTGTTAGCTTTGACTTTGATCATCAAATAGTGATGTGGTCGGTGAGAATGACATGTGCACTATTTGTTTGGAAGAGTTTGACGATGGAACAACCGAACAAGTATCGGGACTTTACCATGTGGACACGAGTTTGACGAAAAGTGTGTTATAGAGTAGTTTGTGAGAATTGATGTCTATCCATTGTGTCGTTTCGAGTTGCCACGTTAAAGATGAAGGATGAGGGGGACCGAAAAGCTTACTAAATTTTGTATAAATGATTTGTGCAAGATCATAGTTTATTTTTATGTAAATCCTTTTCTATGGTTCTATATATGCTCTCAATCTAATTTATAGTATTGGACTCTCATTCAAAAATCATAACTATATTGATCATACTCGATTGTTATATAGACTTAAATAATATAAATGTAAACTTTTGAAACACGACATATGTAAATTAAAAAAATAAAATTTAATTATTGTAATCTTATTATATAAAGTATGGTTTTTAAAGTTAATAACTCATAGGATCATGACACGTGTCAAATCTACCGATTTTAGATTTTGACACGTGTAAAACAAAATTTTCTATAAGAAATATTTATAAAAAATATTTATAAAAAAGCTAATTATAAAAAAATTGTACAAGAGAAATTTTGAAAATATATATGGAAATATTTCTAAATATAATCTTGTGTTATTAAATACATAATATAAAATGATCAAATTGTAAAGTATATGAAAATAATATTATCATTAGTCTCACTAAATTTATTAATATGTCATTAATCACAAAATTAGCAGTGGACATTTTGGTTTAATTTCAAGTTAAATTTTATTCGGTCTAACAATCTAACCACAATTTAGCTTATTATTTATAAATATTTTTAAAAAATGACAACAAATTGAAGCAAATAAATTTTTTGTTGTTGTTGGGATACATAAATAAATTCATATTAGTCTCACTAAATTTGAATAGAGTAATCAATCAAGAGGTAGACGAAAAAAACTCAACAATGTATACAATATATACATGTATATTTGATTATATATATATATATATTATTGTTCGAACAGCTTTAAATAAAATATTTAAATATGATTGGTAATTTTCATGTTCTAGATTTGACATTCGGATATTAGATTAGTTTAATCACTAAAGATTTGACAACAAATTTACATATTTGAGTCAAAATAAGTGAGTGAAATAATTGGTAAAATTAAAAGATAAATCAATGGTAAAACTGCATATGCACTATTAGAAGAAAATTTTGTTCTTAGCTATTATTAATATCTTGAAGAGGGTTAGATGAAATAAGCGCATGGAAAGAAGAACTAGATTACGTTTTGGTATCTATATTTATAAATATTGTGCTGACTAAGGATTCTTTAAAAGAGATGATTTCACTTTGCTATGTTTGCGGATGAAAAACTGTTGAGATGATACTGAACTTGACATGAAAGTAGAATACCATTTGTGACTCCAAGGTAAAATGTTATCGATTAAGATAATGAAAAGGAATCGAGAAATAAAAAACATAAATAAATGGTAAAACTATGATAAAATAATATATGTGTATGGGATGTTTAAGGGATATATGAGAACCATTAAGATTTAAGATACTATTAATTTGATCTCATTGGGGGTTTTGACAATCATTCTCTAACTAAAACGACGACATTTTCGTTTTAGAGAGACTATGTCGTTTTGGTTAAACGGTGACTGTAAACGGCAAGTTAACAACGTAAGCGTCGTTCTAACGACGACTTAATGCGATGCCTAATTTGGCCAAGTCAACGAAAACTTAGCTATTTTCAGAAAATTCAACAGAAACTTAGTGATTAAAGTGACATTTTGAAAGTTCATGCTTTAATCGTCCCAAATTTGAAAATTGACACATTTTTCGACATTTTTCCCAAAAACAAAGCCTCGCGTAGCGGGGGTTAATAACCTAGCTTAAATTAAAAACATATAAATATTTTGATATAACCATATATGTTGACTCACACAAACTTACTCAAAGACAACGCTCCATAGTACTTTTTTAAAGAAAGACCTCAGATCGATACGATACTTAAATACATAATGGGACTGTATGATACTTGATACATAATGGTGGACTTTCACATCTTGAAACACTTGACTTCAAGCGACATATGCTCTGGCGTTCCATCCATTGTTCTCCTTATGATAGCATTGTAGTCTCGACGGGAGCCACGGCTTTTGAAGGCAATGTAGAAGATTGCATTCTCCGCCTTGGCCCACTTCTTCGACTCCACATCTTCTCTGGTTTGTACAATTATCTTTCTCAGCTCAAATGGCTGTGCCCACTGCAGTTTTTCCTGCAAGACAAACACCAAGAGATCATTAACCTACACGCGGTTCCCCATCTTAACTTGTTGTTTTTAAGTCAAGTCCTTTTGCCTCACCAGGAAACGTCCACAAGTGGTAAAGAATGCAAGTTCCGCATACAGATGAAGCCATTTCTTGTATTCTTCCACCTCTGATTCTTTCATCTGCAAATCGCACGTCAACAACAACATATCACATCTTTGTGACCATTTTAAGATTTAAAAGGGAGGGAGCTCACCTCGTAGTATTGCAGATTATCACTGGCAGTTAGTGCATCCTCAGGCACCCAATCGGGCATGTCACCTTTGAAGAAATCATCCACGGAAAGTCTGTCAAAGGCCGCACATAGGTCGCCTTCCACCTCCTCTGAGATCGTACATGCATGACCAACAATAGAGATGGAAAATATTAGACACACAAACCAAAAAAATATATAGAGAGAAGTTGGTTTGAGCACCAAAATTACAATTTACCTGGAGTTTGCGGCGGCTTAAACCTGCAGAGGGTTACAATCATAGTCGAGAAACGTTTCTTCTCAACCTCATTATACTGAACCCTTGCTTCGAAGTCGCGAGTGGAATTGACTATCATGGAAGTAACTATTCCGGTATCCTTGGACACATTCCCAAGTGCAGACAAAAATTGAAAGTTTGTCCCCTACAAGATCAAAATAAGACGAAGTTCACTTAAAAGCACTACAACTTATAGAAACCAATAATATAGTAGATAGTGGAGAGAAGCAAAATCTCAAGTGCAAAAGAGAGAGAGAGAGAGAGAGGGACTAATTTACCTTGTGCAGATTGTAGCAATGAATTCCAACTTTACAAAGTAAGCCCTGATTGAGAGAGTCAAAATCAAAATCGAGGTTACTAATTAAAATAAATAAAAACCACCCCGCCCCAAATAAAAAACAAAAAACTACCAGAGGTGTAATCTTCTCGTATATAGGAATTCTTCGAGATTCCAGTATAAACGATGGTGGAGGAGGCTCAGGAATGGGAAAAAGTGTTATGCAGGGCGACCGTGGTACAAGGTCATCATCGTGGTCAGGAGATGGTGCAGAGGGCAAGTATGTTTGATGTTCCTCCAATACATTCGCCGGATATAAATCCGTCGGTAATAGAGTTGGTGAAAGGAAATAGGGCAAGCCTGTTTCAGAGTCCAGCCGATATATGGCCATGTCTATGAGTCCGTCTTCCGTACGCCTGACGGGCCCATTGAATTGATCACTGAAGACAGACATTCTTGGAAAATCTCACCCAACCCTAAATTCTGATAAAAGGATTAGATTCAATTGAAATCTTAATACCCGAACCCTAAATTTTTTTGAACATCTATGAGGATCAAATTTCAACCGACAGAACCCTAAACCCTAATTTCTCGGAATCTGTCAAACCACAAATCGTTGATTCCAGAGAGAGTTGAAATCAAGGTGGGAATCAACCTCTGAAACTAAATCTAACTATCATGTAAGGTAAGAAAAATAACAATGATGAGTTTTATGAGGTCCATTCAGCAGAAAAGATTCGACGAAAGAAAGAGATCCGATGAAGATCGCCAAATTAGTTCGGCCTTTCTGGGTTTCCTAAATTTTACCCTGTTTTATATAGAGATAATAAGGTGTAAAATAGAATTCCAGGCCCAAATTAAATTTTTCGTTAAACGTTTTAAGGCCCAAACAAGATATATATTTCGCCATTAAACTGGGCGACTTTACCCCTACGCACTTTCGGAATTGAGTCTTTATTTATGTCAGACGAATTAATGCTGTGTCATTTTCCAGTCAAATAGCTTGTTATTTTTCCCGACTTCATTATGCTTATCTTACTTTATTATTTTAAAGACGGGACGTTTGGGTGTCCATCTGTCCAACCCTTCATCATCCCGCCTTTTCGCACCCTAACCCTATATCTTCTGACATCTTTATGAGAAAAACTATTCACTTCACCGATAAACTTTCTTCTTTCTTCTCCACTCTTCTTTTTCTAAATCCGTTGTAGCCCTCAATTTCGCATATCTTCTAAAATTGTTTTACTCGGAAGTCCTTGTTTTAGTCGGAACTCCTCCTATCCGTCGTCAGTTTCATCGGGTCGGTGATAGAACATCACTGATTTTGTTTCCCGAAATTGTTTCAGACGTTTAGTTTTTTCGTCTCTCACTCTGTTTTTTGTTCGTTTTTTTGTGAATTATTGTTAAAAAAATTTCCGTTCTCGCATGCATCTCTCTTCTTGTTCTTTTCACCTTTTTGCTAAACATATTTCGAATCTCTTGACGCGCCGATTTTGTTTTCTCAACCAGATCTATATATAGTATTAGACATCCTTTTTCACTGCTCGCTTTTACTGATCTACACATCTAATTACGTCTTCACCGTTTTTAATATATCTTGGTTTTGTTTTGGAAACTAGTTTGGTTAATATTTTACACGTACGAAATCATCTCAATATATTAAATCTATATTAAGTTTAGACACCTCGCTGATTAACATATTTTGAATCTGATAATTTTCTATTTAAAAGTTTTAGTAAAAAGGAAAATGTATTTAAATTATAATGTTTTAAAATGTAAAAAGATAACTATAAAGAAATTATACCTATATTTCCATAAGAGATTTTGCCATATAGTAAACAAAAGTTTTGTTTTTAACAACTTAAAAATATAAAAAGAAAAATATATGTATATAAGAAAATAATATGTATATTTTCCACAAAAAGACGAAATTATAAAATTATGCTAAAATTATTATTAATAAGTTACTAACTGTACAATATTAAGATTTAAATATAGAAAAAAGATTAAAAAAATTATACAATCATTTATTAATCGTATAAGAAAAAGGATAAACAAATAGATTGTTTCATATTTTTCACCAAGGAAACTTATTTCTTCGGAAACACCACCATTGCTTTAACTTTTCTATTGGTAAAACTTTTTTTTTTCTGTCATAAATTATTAAAACGCAATAAACATGAGTGAAAAAGCTTTAGAAACTAACATTTTTCAGAGATGTGAAATTTAAAAATGGCTCTCAACCAAAATGACAAACATACGACAACATATTGTAATTTGGAGAAAAAAACATGAAATAAATACTAATAAAACGCAATCTAAAAATAAAGATTATCAATACTGGAATTCTGAGACGAAAGAGAGACATCAAATGAGAATTTAATAAAATAACATGTCATACTAAAAAAAATAAAAGTAGTATGTGATTGTTATGGAGGTGACGATGGTGGTGGTTGATGGTTACGGAAGTGCTGATAGGGTAATTTAAAAAAATAACATGAATCATGTAAAAAATATTTGCATTCATCATTTGTTGAAAATATACCATGTAATTTATAAAAAAAAATACACTTTGAATCATAATGGTTTTTTAAAACTAGCATGTGATATTCAGATCCAAGAAATATATGACAGTGGAGAAAAATTAAGAATTATGAACGACGATGGACATAGACTAGAGTTGTTGTCGCAAAGGCTCGGCCCGATGTCGGAGGAGCTAAAGAAGGTGGAGAAATAAGTGCAGTTGGAGAAAGAGGACAAGAGGCGGTAACCGTGGTATTGGTGTTGATGACGATGGTTCAAGCATGGTGGTGTTGGCGGTAAATATTGACGAAGGTGGTGGGTCAAAATTAGCGAGATATGGTATTGATGGTGGTGGTGATTGTGATAGTAATGAGATCCAGTTGTCGTGGTGGGTCGGAGTAGTGAGACTCGGTGGTGATGCCCGACGAATGAGAGAAATGGAGATAGAGAAAAAAAAAAGATATGGTACTGAAGAATCCGACAAGAGTGAGAGAAGGAGAAACAGAAAATCGAGCAAAAATAAGAGAATCTAATGAAAGAAAGAGAATGATTTGAGACTTTCTCGCTGGCGAGAGGAAGGAAAAAAGAGAGAACGAAAAATAAATGGGTAATATGGGGCAAAAATTAACAAAAACCATGTAGCAAATAGACATTGTTTAGTCAAATGTTAATTTTTTTTGTTTTGTTTTAGTCTTAAGTTATTTAGTGTCATATTTTTGTTTCTAAATTGCCCACATTGAAATTATAAGGTGTAACACTCTTCCGATGGATGTAAATAATTTACTAAAATGAAGAAAATAATAATAATAATAATAATTTATTAAAATTCAATGATACAACATATAAACATTTTATGAATATCATAACTTACAATAAACAAAAAATTATATAATTTTATAAATAGGTCAATATTTATATCAGAAGATTTAATAATTAGTGTAACATATATAACTACAAATAGTATTTTATATTGCGCATTATGCATAATAAATTTATATTTAAAAATAATTAATATGCTGTATTTTCTAAAATTTAAACATATTTGTTTATACAATTTTAGTTAAGCTTACAAAAATAAAATAAAAAAATTAAGAATGATAATTTCGACCAGCAACCCGTGCGTACGGGTCCATATTTAGTTAATATGATAGTTATGTGCAATTTACTTAACCAAGGAGTCAATAAGACGAATTAAACTCTGAACAATTAAACCACAACTAGCTAAAGTTTGTAGCTTTATCCTACTTTTGAGTTATTATTATAAAACTAACTTTTAGGTGAAAAACAGCTTTTATACCAGAAAGGACAGAATCAGAACACAGAAAACGACAGATGTAGGAAACTCTGTGAAAACAAGCGTGGCTTTGGTCATCGAGCCATATGTCCACAAACCAAACACATTCCAAGACCACTCCAAACAAATATTAAATGTTAAAAGACAAAAAATTAAACAAAACCTTAAAATATTACAAGAAAACCCTACCACGACGGTGAAGTATACGGCGAACCAGACGACGAATTTGATTCACTAGCAGAAGTTTCCACATTTTTTAGTGAAACGGAGCATGCTTTTTCAGGAAGATCCTTCATTGGAGTTAATGTTGGCGTTGAAACTTCGATTATATGATCGTTATCTTCTTCGCCGGAAGAAGACGATGATGACTCACCGGTTTCAAGCCGTGACGGTGAAGACTCAGGAGTTTCAAAGGGTGTGGTTGGTTTACTTGTAGCTTCGTTTGAGTACATTGGGTTAGATATGTAGATGAAGTTATTATCACCAGAATCGTTAACAATGGTTTCTTGAATCAGATCAAGAGAAGCTTGTAAAGATGGTTCATGGTGAAAATGGGTTTTGGTTGGAGTTTGAAGAACACCTGTGTAGAGAGGATTAGGTGAAGAAGAATTTATGTTACATGGTGAAGTGTTGTCGTTGGTTGTGGTGGAGATGACTTGGTTTAGGGTTGTTGCGGCGGTAGGGACGGTGGTGATGGGGAGGTTGAGGGAGTTGTGGCGGCGACGGCGGAGTAAGAGAGAGCAGTAGAGTTCAGCTAGTAGGACTAAGACTAAGCTTAAAACCATGACTAAGCTCACTACCATTACCATTGTAGCTGCCATTATCACCTTTGAGGAGCTATTCATCTTTAACTCTCTATGTGGGGATGTGTGAGCAGAACATAGAGGAGAAGAGTGGTATAGTTGTAAGAACTAAGAAGCAGCTTTTGTTTATTGGCGGGAAAATTGGTGCTTTTTCAGAGTATGTGGACCTATTGCAGAGAGAGAAGGATTGGATACGAGGAACACGAGGTTCTCTGTTTTACGAGCTTTGAAAATGTTAAAGGTAAAAAGAAAATTTCCACAATTGGGAGGGAGGGTATTATTGTAATTTCAGATAAGGTTGGGTGAGTTAAAGAATCTCAAAGCAAGTCACTTACTGTAAGTGATACTAGCATCTGTGTTGCATAGGGCAAGAAGCTTATTATAAATCAAACTTGATTTGCTTGTGACGAAAGTAATCATTTGTTTTTAGAACAAAACATAGATTGGCGTTTTCGTTTTACATTAATATAATAATATTACATTTCTTGAAATTAAAATCTTGTAATGGGAATAGAACAGAATCAAACATTACATTGAAATTATATACTGATTCTAATTTGTTAGAGTGTATGAAAATAAAGGTGGAGCTCTGTTTTCCTCCTTCACCAACACAAAGGAATACACTAAATCTGTTGTTTGAATTTCAATAATATTTGAATTTTAATGTAATCCCTTAGTTATTTACTTGTACTGTATCGCAAAGGTAACTTACACAGTTACACTCAATGTTTTTGAATAAAATATACGTCAAACGTATTGTATAGCCCGTATAAAGACCGTTTATGCGGAAGAAAATATTTTCTTGTAAAAAAGTGTATTAACGTAAAATTTGTTAAGATATGCATATAGAATTACAAAACTACAATAACAAATCATCTTCGTCAGGCACTCTTCCATAGTAAATATGCGTTTACCCCATCCGATTCTTGATTAGTTGCTGAACTACGATGTATTCTTTGGTCTATCCATGGTGTTAAAGATATTTACGTTATGCATAAACAACTAGAGTCTGATTGCAAGCTGCTATTGATGCAGTGAAAAATCCTAAAGATTGGCCAAAATATCGTAACATCTTGGATCAAATTCTTGATGTTGCATGTCCTTGGAGAATGTTACTTTCGTGTAGTCGCGCTTTCGGCAAATACAATTTCTTAGTCAATTGGTAAAAGTATGACAAGGAATAGTCAGTTTCATTTAGATATGGCACTTAGAAGGTCGGCATGGGTCTACAATCAAGTTTGGGATGTAGCAAATTATTGAATATTTTTTTTTGTTTTGTTTTAGTTTATGTTATCGCGGTTTTTCAAATTTTATTCGGATGTAACAAAAAATTACGGTAACAAGAAAAACAGAAAAATAATAAAACATGATGAATACTATATATAAATATTAAAAAAAATTTATATTCTCTCATTCAATTTTTTTCCAATAATTCTTAAATAATAATAAAAAGATGATTATAATTTTTAGGGTTAAATTTTTATCGGGAAAATACATTTAAATCTATAACTTTTTCATCTTGTTGATTTAAATCCTCAACTTACTACGGAATGACATATACAGTAAAACCTCTATAAATTAATAATGTTGAGACCATGATATTTTATTAATTTATAGTGATATTAATTTATCTATAAATTAATACTTATTAATTTATAGCGTAAATTAATATTTATTAATTTATAGAAGGTTTTGTTTCAACTGTGAAAACTTTTTTTTAAAAAATACAAGTTAAAGCAATGTGATCTAAATAAATTTAATGTTTTGGATGTTATAAATTTATAGTTTTAGCCTTAAATACTTAATATTTCGAGGTGAAAATAATTTATTTTGACAATGAATAACAATGATTATAGAATTCACATATACAAACAATATACATAAATTAAAATTCACAAATAGTTACATCTATTGTTGTATTTTAAAAAACCTATACGACTATTAAAACAAAAATGATGCATATTCAAAATTTGAAAACTTACAAAAACTTTTGGCTACTTTTTTGAAAAACACTAAAACTATTATATATATGTAAATTTACATGATTATTAATTTATGATATTATTGGGACTATATTTTTATATAGAGATTTCAAAAACTTATAATCTTATTATCTTATCGAATTTCGTTAATTTTTACACTGGCCCGACTCGGGACCAGCAAAATTAATTAATTTATCGTGTTTATTAATTTATCGAGTCTTAATTTATAGAGGTTCTACTGTATATAGTAAACTTTTCTTGACTTTCAGATTAAATACCAAACTTTCGTTGACTTTGCCATTTTGATCATGTTGTTAAGTCAACAAATGGAATAAGCGAGCTTATGTCTCTGTTATCAATCTTTATTAACCTACAAAAAAGACGTTTTTTGATTTTAAAAAAGTTAATGCTTCCAAGTACTTGTTGCAACAAGGATTATCTTTTCGTAGTCATAATGAGTCGAAAGAGCTGCTAATTGATATTTTTTTTTAGAATTAGTAAAATACATCGGAGAACATAATGATCATATAAATAAGGTTCAAAAATTAACCAGATAGTTTCTCCGGTAATGTAGAAAGATATTGTAAATTATTTTGTTGATAGAGTAGCGCAATCCATCACAGAAGAGATTGATCATGGTGTGTTTGGTCTGTTGGTTAACGAGTTTGCTGATGTTTCTGGTAAAGAACAAACGACTGTTATTTTCAGTTTGTTGATAAAAGTAGAACAATAAAAATATGACGATTTGTTTGCAAAATAAACAAATCATTGACGATTTGTTTGTAAAATATGGATTAACCTTGAAAAAAGTGAGGGGACAAGGTTATGATGGAGCAAGTAATATGAATGGTAAGTTAATGGATTAAGGTCATTAGTTGTCAGGAAAAACAGTTCAACTTATTATATCCATTGTTTTGCCCATCCACTTGAGTCGGTTATGATGGTAATTACACAACCAATTGAAGTAGATGTACAAAACAATGAATATAATAAGGTGAACTGTTTTTCAAGTAACAACCAATGATTTTACCGCATTAAAGTTACATTTCATATTACCTACCCAATCTTAATCTTGTACAATCCTTTATTCAAGCTCAATCCATATTTTGCAAACAAATTGTCAATGACAGATGTCACATATAAAAGAAAATATTTTCTTTACATTGATAAATCCAATAAATCTATTCTTTGACTGTTTCACTTTTAACAACAAATCGAAAACAACATCCATTTGTTATTTGCCGGAAACATCAACAAATTCGTCAACGAACAGACCAAACATACCATGATTAATTTCTTATATGATGGGTTGCACTAATTCCTCAGCAAAAGAATTTACAATATCTTTCTGAATCACTTAAGAAAACATTTGGTTATTTTTCAGAATATTCTCCAAAATAACCATACTTATAGCATTATTATGTTCTCGTGTATTTCATTAGTTCTAAAAAATTTTTATTAGCAGACACTTTCGACTCATTATAACCATAAAAAGATAATCTTTGTCACAACAAATATATATATAAGCATCAATCGAATGTGATACTTATTTTTTGTTGTAACACTCTGCTTATACAAATTAAGCATGCACGATAGGCTGGATTTGATTCTTCCAATATTATGAAAGCCATTTGACGTTTTACCACATATTCACCCAAATTATGAGGTTTGTTCCAATTAGAAAAACTTTCTGCCACAAACGCATCATTTTCACATTGTATAGGTATATCAACTTTGAATTAGCAGCAACACAAACAGAAAGCTTTATCTATCGATATACTATTCTCTAGTCAGTTACCATACTTCTAAAATTAATTTGGGTTAAATCACCTCATTATATTTTCAATTTATTGTCTCGAAAAGCCATAACCATATTGAAAAGAAAAAAAAAAGAACAAAAAATTTGATATGGACTCTAGTTAATCTATTAAATCTTCCAAATTATTATCAGAATCTGAGTACAACTTTCTTTTATAATATCGCTCTACTATCTCAAAAATATGTCTCATAAATTCTAAACCATCTAAATAAAATCACCAATACCAATCAACCATATATCGGACGAGTAAACGATTTGAAGTATATATAACTATCAAATACTCTATTATTGAAAATATAGTTAGCTACAGATTATGTTTTGGAGTTTTCCTTTGGCCAATAATAAATCAAAATGGCAACTATGATCATCGATTTGGTTTTGATTATTATAATCAATCATCGTTTTATTGTTACAATAAGAAACGAGCATATGCTTCACCAATTTTAAATTTAACTATAATAAAAACCCTAAAATTCTGCATTTAGCTTAAGAAATTATTTTAAAAAACTAGGAAAAAATAAAAGTACTGAAAATTATAAGAAAGTTCATAGAACTTACAGATTCGTTTGTGTGATAATTTTCTCAAACGTATGATTTTTCTTTCCTCTAATCTTCTTCCACGGCAGAAAATCATGGGAACGAATGTCTAAGTGAGGGTTTTAATTAGATTTATAACAGGTTTGCCTTTGCCCTAATTCTTATTTTCGACAAAAAAAAAGACCAACTGGGCTTACAAAGTTGTTACGTTTGTTGGGCTTTGGAGTTTAAATATTTATTATATTTGTTAGGTGCAAAATTTTATTTGAATTGAGTGCATACTCTAAAAATCATTTAACTTACATATATTTTTCTAAAATCCATGGGTTTGCACCACCGTAGTATATATATAGCTGTTTCTTCGTTCGAGCCGCAATCATGAATTCATCTTCCTTAACAAATGATCTCATCATGGAGATATTGTCGAGATTGCCTTCAAAGTCAGTGGCAAGGTTTCGTTGTGTTGGAACTTGTTTTTGACAAAATGGTTTTGACCATTGTTACGGTGGATTTTCCGGTGAAGACGTTCATCGGAATGACCGGTTCTTGGGCACGATGGAATCTATGCTGCGAGCACTACGTGATGGTGTATTGGAATGTCAAAAACGGAGTTCGTTTGAATGAGAAATGGAGGTCCAAAGTAACTTGCTTGCATAGCTTGGAATTTTGACTTAAAGTCAAAATTGTATACTTTGGAAGTTAGAGGAGAAATCCAAACATACATGGGTTGGATTTGAGATTTGAAATTTGGGAAATGGGCTTACAACCCATATAATTATTTTATTTTCCCAAATTTATTTTGATTTAAATCAGTGATTAAATCAAAAATATCTACCTTAAGGATTGTGTGTAATCAATTGAGACAATTAGGGTCAAAAACGTTTTTGACTTTATCGTGAGATTTAAGTCTCTTGATTGTGTCATTAAGGTGATATATTCTCCTCTTTGATGCCATGGACGTGGAGCTCTTGTGCTATAAAGTCATGGTCATTGTCTCTCATTCTAAGCATCGTTCACCAACATAATCTCCTTCCTCTTCTTCTCTTTTCTAGTTCGAGTTTGAGAGTACAACACAAGGCTAGTGTACGTTTAGCTTTTGATTTGAGTGTTGCAATCAAAAGGAGAAACAGTTTTATCCTGGGACTCTAATTGTCATCAAACCGGCACACTACGGGGCGATTTTTGAGTTAAGGAAAGAGATCATCAAAGTTCTCAACTCTGTTTACCACCGTCAATCTCCGTTCTTCAATCATCCTTTGGTATTGTTGATATATGATACTTGTTCTATGTTATTTACTTTACAAATATCAGATTGTGCCCATGTTGAAATATTAAGGTCTTACACGTTGCGTGTCGAAGCGATGGGCATCAATGTTTGCTAGTCCATACTTCAACGAGTTGTTTAGGACCAGGTCCTCCGTTAAGCCGCGCCTCTTATTCGCCATCGCAGAAACCTGTGGTGTGTGGAGCTTCTTCTCATCGCCTCAGCTTGAGAATCCATATGAGAAATCGTCGTCGACTCTTGTAGCAGCCGCAGAATTTCATGTGAAGTTCTCTCCAGAAAAGTTAGAGATATATCATTCTTATGACCCAAGATATTTTTCAATTGGCTATGCCTCTGGCTTGATCTATTTATATGGTGATCGATACCAGGGTAGGCCTGTGATATGTAACCCCAACACAGGACGGTATGCGATCTTACCTAATCGGTATACTTACAGAAAAGCGTATAGTTTTTTTCGGGTTTGACCCGATTGACAAGCAATACAAGGCATTGTCCATTGCTTATCCATCTGGCCCTGGTCGTCATAAAATTCTTACATTTGGAGATGGAGATCTCACGTGGAGAAAGATAAAGTGTCCCGTACCACGACCTGGTATTAAGAGTGATGGGATATGCATCAATGGGGTTTTGTATTTCTTAGCTGAGAGAGTTGAACTAGACTTTGATTATGTGATAGTTTGCTTTTTTTTTTTTTTTTTTGATAACCGAGTGTCCTGGCCCCACCGAGGTGGTCCAGACTAGAGACCGAACCCTTACGGCACGGACGCACACCCGAGGGTGGGTCATGGCCAGGTAACGGTCTTCGGTCTCGGGCGCCAGAGCAAGTCCGCATGTAAATTCCCTGGTGGCCACTAGTATGTAGCAAGGGAGAATCGAACCCGGGCGTATTGGGATTACCCTCTCAACCACGAAATCCGTCCTACCACTAGCCCACCTTGTAGTGGTTATAGTTTGCTTTGATGTTCGGTCTGAGACATTCACATATATTGACGTAGAGAGGATTTGTCAATTGATAAACTACAAGGGCAAATTAGCTGTGATTTATTGGGTGGATGATGTCGACATTTATGAGATTAATTATTACGCAGGTCGCGATCTCGATAAATATTTGGAGGAAAATCTCGACGTTGAAGCCACTAATGAGTTGCGTGTCTGGGTTCTAGAGGATGTTGAGAAACAGGAATGGTCTAAATATGCCTACACTTGGACCGATGATACATTCTTCCATCGTCATGTTTCCATCGCTGGAGCGACTCCTTCGGGTGAAATAGTATTTTCGATGCGCAAGTATACATCTAAACAACCGTTTTATGTTTTCTACTTCAATCCCGTAAGGAATACTCTCCAACGTGTTGAAATCCAAGGTTTTGGTGAAGCGTTTAAGGAAACTTGTAGTGTTCGCACCTTTGTAAACCACGTAGAGGATCTTGATGTTAACGATTTAAAACAACTCAAGTCAGTCCATCCTCCATTGGTGGAGCCAGAATATTATGAACCATCAGATTCAGGATCAGACGAAGGTTAGAGACGATCGTTGGAGCTAGTTAGGTGAAAGCAATGGGCTTGTCATTTTGTGCTCTTATCTATGCGTCTATTTTACTGTTTTTCTCTCTTTAACTAGCTTTATACATCTATTATTCAAGAACATGGTTTTGTTGTTTCTGTTAGTTCTATCTTCTATGTCTTTAATCTTGAGTATATTTGCTTTAATTTTCAAAATCGTTTCTTCTGGATGAGATCTGTCCTCTGTTCTTTGTCAACATCTAAGACAAGACCCATTGTTTCAACTTTTCAAAACTAAGCTAACAATAAAATGCATAATTTAAGAACATGAAGACTGATGGCATCAATGGTGGCTCTGTATCTGAGCTTCCTCATTGTGACAAGATTCTAGTGTTTCAAAGTCGCGAATTGTGTGTGCCACAACGAGAGGACAAAATAACGACACACAAACCTCACTGCCTGAGAATGAGATCTAGCCTTCTGGTGTAGAGCCGGCGCAGCAGCCTTATATTCCAGATTCAAACATCTGTAGCCAATGTTAGAAACTGGGCACGAGCTATGTCATCGGCCAAACCTTTGATCTATGTCCATAAACCTCATTTATCAAAGACAAACAACACCATCACCACCTAGTCCTTCAAATAGCTTCTGAGGAGAATGAACACTGAACACTGGCCACCAAAACATTCATCACAGTGAGCATGAGCACAATGCCAAATTAGAGACCAATTGTTTTAGCGAATTTTGACTTATGATACTGAAAATTGCTAATTAGTATGAGTAGATCAAAAGACATTATAACCTTATTTTTGGTGTTTCTTTAAGTTCTGTAACATCATAGCTCGGGTTTTGCCATCCGGTTCCAAACCCATCTCTCTCATTTTGACATACAGCTCCTTTGCAAGCTTGAACTCGCGTCTTAAACACATCCCATGTATAGCGGCGTTGTAAAGCGACACATCGGGTTCCACTTTCTGTTCAAGAAACAAACAACATTAGATAATCTCTTCTAAATCAGCACACATTTGATTAACAAACATAAAGAAAGCTCGTACCTTAAGGATATCTTTAACCTCGTCCCAAAGGGAACCCCAAATACAACTTCTTACAAGTGACAGATAAGTAAACGTGTTTGGCTTACAATCCCTTTGAGCCATGTGCTCATATACTAACAATGCAACTTTCAATTTCCTTGATTTTTCGCAAGCGCTTATCACCAGATTATATGATGAAGTTGAAACTGTTAACCCCGAACCTTCCATTTCATACAAAAGCTTCACAGCTTTCTCCCAATAACCAAGCTTTTGGCATGAAACCATAGCTGTGTTGTACAAATATTCATTCAGACAACACAGGTTTTCGCTTCTTATCATATCAAACAGCTGAAGAACATCTTCATATCGGTTTGCTTTGTATAAAGCCGAGAGCAGCGCATTCCACGTGTACTCGTCTGGTTTATGCCCCAACGATTTTGCAACACTGTAAACCTTAAACACCAATCCGACTTTTCCCGCCTTTCCCAGCGAATTTATCAAAGTATTGCACGCTACAAGATTAGGCTTCATTCCTTTCTTTAGCATACTCTGAAATATCTTTAGGGCCAAATCCCATTTTTCCTCCTTTGTACACGCGCTTATCATCGCATACATTGCATCTTCTCTTGGAGATATCTTGTTGTTAACCATCTCATCATACGCATCAAGTGCCAATTCGCTTCTCCCACACCTAACAAAAATGCTAATAAGCAGAGAATACGTAATCTCTGTTCCAATTTGACCATCACCTTTCATAACTCTCCATATCCTCTCTGTCTCATACACGTTATTTATCCGTCCACATAGAGAAATCGCAGTGTTATACAGAACCACATCGAAAGAACTCCTATGTTTTGGCTCCCTTTCTAGTTCTCTAAACATTCTTAGTGCAGAATCACAACCTTTAACCTCTGCAACAGCTTTCAACATCAAGCTATACGTATGCCCTGTGACATTCTCCTTTTTCCTCATCAACTCAAAGACGGTAAAGGCTTTCTTTACATCTCCATTCCTCAAGAGACACGAGAGAAAAGAGTTACATGCATAAGCATTAGGTTGTAAACCCAAGAATCTCATAGAATCAAACAACTCCAATGCACTTCTCACTTTATCCAACCTGCTAAGTTTCAGAAGTCTCTTTGATAACATCTCTTCGTCTCTCTCCTCTAAAAAATGTATCCTATTCCTATTCCATACAGGCTTCTCTTCTTCCCCATTTTCAACCAATAAATCATCAAAGAAACTAAATTTCTTCCCTCTTTCTGTCAATCCATCTTCATCCTCCAATTCCGAACCAAAAACCGTATTTTCACCGTTGTAAGAGCTATCTAATTCACTACTCACCTTCCTGAAACAAAATTTTGGTGTTGCCAAAGAAAAAGACTCCATTTTTACACCTAGACGCCTTCGTTTCGGCTTCATGGTCAATGCAAAGTGACTCAAAGACCAATGAAAAGTTCTCCAAACACAATAGCTCTTCTCAGTTGAATGACATCCACAATTAAATTGATTCAATGTAGCAGTGATGGAGACAGAACTCAACCAGACAACTCCCATGATAATACAGTGAATAGCATGAAAGTTGACAACTTTAGGAATACCCACTTCAAGTCTAAGCAAACAAACACTAAATTTTCTTAATCAAAGAAGAGAAGCTACATAAGAACCAGTACCCAAGACACGAAACCAGACCAAAGACCTGTTCTTTCAGCAGAATTGATGAATCAAGCTTGTTCTGTGGCTGAGGAAGGAGAAGAAGATACGTCAGAGAGCGAGAGTTAAACGACGTAGTTTTGAAGCTCCAATTAGAGAAACGACGTAGTTTTAAGGACCTTTTTAAACGCAGACGTTTTAAAGTAATTGAAAACACCTAAAGCCGAACACTTTGGTAGAGTGTTAAAGAATCGATTTCTCTATCGAGCAAGAATGGGTAAAGTTTCTGGCTTTCTTTCGAAACTGTTTCTGGGTTTTTTGAATGATGTTGTTTTAAAGTAATTGGTGTGATTGCAGATGAAGGAAGAGAAGGAGAGATAGAGAAGAAGAAGAAAGAGGAAGAAGGAGAAGTGAAGGAAGGAGTAGCATCAATAGCTTTGTTGCCATGTGGGACTATCTCTGGTCATTTCATTCAGATGCCTAGCTCCATTTGTTATGGTCTCCATGGCACTGGTAAATTTCACTCTTCTCTTACTAGGGTAAACAAAAAAAAATGGTCTTTTTTCTTTGTTGGGTTTGATTTTGTTGTGCAATTATATGTTTGTGTGTTTGGTGGGAATGTTTGGTCCTAAAGCATGTAAATGAGTCAGGTTAATGGGAATGTTTAATCTTGCATTAGTTACTAGAAATGATGGAATATGATACAGATCTTTGTAACTCAATTGCTTAATTAGTGTGGCTTTTTTGACATGACACTGCATTTTTGTTGTATTATTGATGTTGTCTTTCTCTGTCCAAAGAACTGGCTTGTGAGACTGAGTGTAGCCGCGGTGAGGATTATCGGTTGATCAAACTCACTATCATAGACTACAATGTATGAATTTCTCACTTTCTTCTGTAACTCTTAACTCTTAAATTTCAAATCATGAAATTGAGTTTGTTCCTCGGTTTCTTTTGGTGAAAAAGAGGAAGAAGGAACAAACAGTTGTAGTGGAATGCAAAGGCCATGATGCTGCTCGAATTAATGATGTTGAGCATGCTCACGGGTAAGTTGTCCTTTTCTAGTATCTGTGATGTAAATCAACCTATGGAACTTTTGTATAAAACTCATAGCTTTCCAGTGAAAACATTCGAACGAGTTGAATCTAAAAACCCTTGTGTGATTCTTTTACTGTCCTATGCTTAATGAATATGACAACTTGTCCTTGTAAAGGTGGGAGGAAGATGTGATAGGATTAGTCGAAGAAAAACACGGGAAGAAGAAAGTATCGGTTTCGTTCGAGTGTGAGACATTGAAGGCAGATAAAGCAGCAGAGGACCATATCCGACAGTTTATGCCCAAATTAGCTGGACTTGATGCTGTTAGTAAGTAGAACCAACACTTTATTCTTTTGCCATTCTCATTACATTATGTTTTCTCGTTTTGTTGGATCAACACACTGATTCGGGGTTTTTGGCAGTTAACATTGGACCAATGAAGATTTCCGGGCTTGATTTTGCTGTGGTGGAAGAGGAACAAACAAACTAAGACAGCTTAACTCTCTCCTTTTGTGTATACATCGTATTTGAATGCTCTTTGAGTCTTTGTTTCATATCGTAGAACACAATTAATGCTTTAATCTCTAAGCACAACACAGTCAAGGATCTAGTTACTGTAGACATTATGAGACTTTCAGTGAATCACTATCTTTTGAGTACTCTCTCTTCCAACTTCCAAGCGTGAAGTACCAAGTAACTCTTGGGTCAGTGACGTCACATATCCTCTTAACTGAGTGAGAAGTCTAATCCTGTTAAGTCGAGTTTGTTTGGGAAGGATTGCGATTTTCTTTTTAAGGAAAGGCTGGCCTCGGCGAGGAAGACTATGACTCTATGAGTCTTACCCCAAAACTTAAATATGAAGAAGAAATATCCGAAGAACCACCTAAGAAAACCCATGAAGAAAAAGATTTGTTCATCTTCCATAACAAAGAATGTAGTGACATGTTGATTCTTAAATTAGGTGTGTTGGGTTTTTGTGTTTTTTTTTTGTCATTTCGTTTTCAGTTTGAAGAAATGATTCTGTCTTTGGGGTTTATGGAACTTTTATGTTTTAATTGTTGGAATTTTAAATGTATGTTTGAACTTCTATTTAATTCAAATAACAATTTGAACCAATCTTAAGAGCATGATTATCGGTGGGATGTTAAGTGAATCTTAGGTTTTTAAATGATTTAAATTAAATAGATAATGCTGCTTATTACTAAGGAACGTTCCTTAGCTAAGGTTTATTTTCAGTGTTAAGAGGTGTTAGGTGTCACTATATTACTTAAATATTTCTAAGAGTAGTTATTAAAAGCCTATGGATAAAGGTGCTCAAAGTCATCTAACGAAATCGTTTGGTGTTTGGTTTTAAATTCATAAAGCATTTTTATAGGATGTAATGGCATAGTCAGTTTTTTACTTTTTAGAAAGAATATAGGATATGGGTGCTTTATTTTTATTAATATGAGAATATAGTAGTTTTTTTTAGTGTTTGTGAGATATCCTGTACTATTATTTAGGGAATACATAATAGAGATAATCTTGGTTTTTTGTAAGTTAATACATTAAAATGTCGTTAGAAAAAAAAATTAAAAAGTAAATTAATTCATCTTATTAAAGATAAATAAATCAAATACTTATTTGAATGATTTAAATAATTTAATTAAAATATAAAAACGAAAATACATTATTATTTTATTTTTTTAAATGGCCAATCAAAATGAACATATCTAAATTACCATATTAATTTGTTATTAATCATTATGCTTCACCTCTCATCTTTATATATTTTTGTGAAACAAATAAATCATCATATCATCCATATAATAAAAAGGTAGACAGTATTCCTTCTAAACATAAAAAGACGTTGTTTTGTCGTAACTGCTCAATAAAATCCCGAGTTTCAAATCATATGAAGATTTTGCTCGATTTGGGGATCTAAGATTGACTTTAGGGATTTAATTCAACCGTTACAACAAAACGATGTCGTTTTGTTGTTATATGAAACGATGTCGTTATCAATTAACATGTATGTTAACAGAAAATTAACTCCGTTAACGAAATCTATTAACCCACTTAATGTCGTACCTAATATGGCGAGGTCAACGAAAGTTTGATATTTATTTGGAAAATCAACATAAGTTTGATATTTATTTCGTTTCGTCATGAGTTGAGGATTTAAATCAACGTTTTGAATAAGTTGGGGATTTTAACGACATTTTTCCCAATTTGATTTTATAAAAACAAATATATTTAAAATATTTATAATAGGCGGTGTGTTAAATATATTATATTATATGATGGAATGGGTTATGATCCTTATAAGAGACGACATGTTAAGATTATATGATGAGATGGGTTATATAAGGGTTGACACCTATAAATATTTGAAAATTTGATTCTGCTAGTAATTTTAAAAATAAAAAATAATGGATTGTGCACACAATATTTTCATTTAGATTCTAAAATGAAATATAGACTCCATCGACGGGTTGAATTTTGATATTATTATATACCATAAACTAGATCATGACCCGTGCTATACAGCACGGGATTTAATATTTTTCATGAATTAAATTGTATATTTTGTTCGAAGAAATAAGGAATAATTTAGTATAATAGTATAATATAAAAGGGAATATATCATAATATTTTATATTTATTACTATTTGGATATAATGTTATATATTTTATTTGACTAAAGAAGGAGAGAATATTGTATTTTAGAATTTAATATATTTAGCAGCATTAGATTTGTATTTTTGTATATGAGATTAATAATTTCTTTGGTTCAATTAGGAATTGATAATTTTATTGTGTGATTGTGAACAAACAAAAAAATAGTTGTATTGGGTTTAAGTTTTTTAATGGATTATATTGGGTTTGTGGGGCCTAGTTTCATGGTTTAAAAAAAAGGAAAAAAAACGGTTTAACATACCTTTGGAATTTGCTGATCTGTTCCTATTTGATGTCTGCTTGAATTTTTTGTTACCCTGTAATTAAAATAAGATGACTTAACACTTACGGCACATTTATTACAAAGAGAATTGTATAAAATTTCAATGGTACTTACAGGCTCATCTTTCAAAATCATTTCCAAAGATATGCCAGAACCTTTTGTAAAATGAATCCACGAATGAAATATACTAACTTTAATACAGCAAAAAGTCTTGACATGCTTCAAATTGTTAATAGGAGTGTAGGGACTAACCATAGCCATTTCTGCTGTATTTTTAATTGTAGGATATGAGAATGGTGCTGAGATGATTTCTGTGAGAAAGGTACGTCAAGCCTAAATGGATATTTATAGTTGTAGATTGTTTGTGATAATTAGGAGATTCAAAAATATATTAATTAACATAAAATAGTTAGATAATATTTTAGAAAGGTATATTCTAGATTATTTGGAATATAGGATCAAAATTATATAACAGAGAGATTTGACAATCTTTAGAAAAGATTTTAAGGAAACTGAATAGCTGATTATATTGATGCGTGATTAAACTAAACCAAAAACGTAAAACTAAACAAAAAACGATCTAGAATATAACAACTATTATAACTTATTTTTTTTATAAAGGGTTTTAAGGAAACTGAATATATTTTCAAAGATTTTAGGAAAACTGAATATATTCTCAAAGATTACGAATTGCTTGAATACGAATTTATATCTAAACAAAATATAACAACCTAATATCTTTAAGATCTTTAAACCCGTTTTTCGTTATTTGACCCGTTTTTTAATTA